TTACAGAATTTCCATTTTAATATCAACCCTATTGTTTTTGATACGTTTTTGACATGCAACAAATCGAGTCCTTATATTTCTCAGTATTACTATTTTTTAAGAAAATTTAATATTGAAAAGAATATTATTATATTGTGAAAAAATAACTATTTGATGTATTTAATAAAACAATACAAAACTGATTCTTGTTTTATTTATTTATCTATCATCTTCAATCCATAGTTTTCCACGTACGTTGTTATTTTTTGTTAACGTGTTCTTTCGGGATATATTAATGAAAAGAAAGATAAATAAAAGAGATTTACATAAAAGTTCCTTTTTATTTCATAACAAAATAAATACCAATTGTAACCCATACAGCTATTAACAACAATAAAAAAACTACAGTTCAATATTTGTGTCCCCAACAAATTACGCGCCAATTAGACTAGTTAAATGAGCGCTTAATTAATATTATCTGTACACCTTTATCATGATGGTATCATCGATAGTCCTAAACTTAGTGATTACTTGCTTTTTTATAAAGTTGTCGGTTGAGATAACTAATGCCATTGCTTTCGTTATGGTTCTAAGCAACCAAATGAGTTCTTTGATGCTTATATTAAAGTATACTCCAACACTAAAATATTAACAATCATAACACTTCACTGACTAGTAACAACTACAGTTTAAAACTCCGAAGAGTATTGGACAATATTTTCGTAGGTCTTTCGACAATTACAAGTGTACAGTTATAATATTAAAATAATATTGTTTAGAGGTCAAGTGTTTATAAGTTACACCTGGTACCGAATACATCTATACAAGGTAAAAGCATCGCCGGGGATCTGTGTTACATTAACAATTTATTTACGTACTTTCTCTATGGTCTTAATACTGCATATGAAATAGGCAGTTATTTATGTTTTAAATATTACAATTATGAAGTTTTTATTTTAAAATAGCTGCAGATAGAACTTTAGAAAACAGTAGAATATAATTTTCAATATTGGTATGTAAGATTAAGTCTTATGCCAGACAAGAAACTCTTGCCCTCAAAACAAAAATAAAGAGAACAGTAAAATATATAGAGACCGGAACAAATTTTTTTAGAATATGTTTACAACGCCAATGGCATAGTTTTTAATTCTACACGGGCAGTAGCTTATACTCAGTAAAGATATATTTTGTACAATTAGAATATATCTGAATACAGTATTAAAGGACTCTTAAGGATTTTCATGTAGACTATATTCATATACTCAATGGAGTCACTATTTGATTTTTATTATCACATTTAAACCACAGCCTCAGCACTCAGGAACAATGTATCTTCTACGAACATAGTTACAGTTTGTGTATCAATGCTAATTTTTAGTCTGTAGTCGAAATGTGACTTCCTATTATTTATTTAATGAGCAATAGAAATAGTAAGTTCTTACTATTGTTTGAGCATATTAACCTTGCTTTAAAGATTGACTACTATATTTAATACATGTCACAAAACTAGAAATAGAGGAATTTAAAATAAAATTAATTACTAAGTGAGAAAGTCCGTCAACTGGCGGTATAAGTAAATGTCAAAGTTTTTTTTCCTGGGAGCATACAGAACTTCCCGTTTTTATGTATTAAATTTAATGCATGTACACCAGATATATATATATAATATAGTGCAAAATAAAAACTCCACGATTTTGACGCTGAATAAAGAGATTAATAATATTAAAAATGAAATATTTTACCTTAGTACAGTCAAGACCTATATTTTATATTAAACCTGGTCCTTTCCAAGTCACGGTTAAACGAAATCACTGGAAGCGAAACTTTCAAGAATCAATTTTGAGTGATTATTGAAGTACGATATTCACTCGAATATATTTCAAAATTTTCGCATTATTTAGCTTCTATTATATTATATTGGTATTTAAACCAGTCATCAAAATTGTGGAGTGAGAATTAATTTACCAAAAACTTACATGTAATATCTACTGGAAGATAATAGTTTGTTATATTTATATACGAGTAAGGCATTTATATAGTGTATATAAAATTCTACTATTGATTAAGTACAATTTTAGCGAAACCCATATCACTACACTACACGTAGCATCACTTTCTTTCGGAAATGATATCATTACATTAACTAAATGTTGTCTACATTTAATTAATGGAAAGTGTAATTGTAAAAATAAATATGTAATTTATTTTTTAAATGTTTTTAACATTCAATTGCATTCTGATAATTTTAATTAATAAATGCACAATACAGTATAGCTATGGTGTACAGTTGCGTTCACGTTCAATGTAGTTGCAATCTCTATGCGTTATTTTTAAACCAGTAAAAATTTTGTTCTTTAATTATTGGAATGTTAAATTGTACGAAGCGAGAGATATATAAAAAACCTCTTAAGGTTGGCAATTATACACAAAAATATTTCATAACAATACTAAACAATTTATAATAATCAATTATAAATATATTGTCTGATGTATTTCTAAAGTCACAAAACAATAGTTTTTATGGAGATTACCCAGTTTCATACAATTCATGAATATATTTATAATAATTAATTAAACTAATTATAATATTAGCTATTGTGCGCGGATTTGTTGTCGTTAAGTAGTTTTTCAAAATGTAAAAAATATTGTATAAATAAGATGTTCTATGGGATGTAATATAAACAAATGTCATCACTAGTTTTAAGGTTTTTCATGCCATATACCCATTACAATTATTAATTTATCATTATTACAAATATACAACAAACTTGTTTACTATGATAAACACTACACCTTCAAAATATTCCTTGTGTAACACACTAAAACTAAATATAACATTTTCCCTCTAAAAGAACCCATCCCCTATAACTATACCCTACAATTATATTCAGTCGAGATAATGGCTCAAATAAAGAGAGACTAAACTAAAATAATAGAAGTTGCTACATAAATAGTCCACCACATAGAATCATGTGTGAAATAGTACTTTGTTACAATAACATGTTCCAATTATATATTTATCTCGATAAACAATGGCATCATAATACCACATTGACAAGTAATAGACAAGTACAGTCAGCAACAAAAATTGATTGGCACAGTCAGAAATTCAAAATTATGTTCAACAGGTCATTTCAATAGAACAACATCATAAATAGTATTATTTCTATGCTATAACTGGGAATACACTAAGCCTAGATCACTAAATGCAGATTCGAATCGTAGCATAAAGTCAAGGCAGAATGTTCATTGTTGTAGTTTTTTAATTAAATATTTTTAAAATTATCAATACTCGAATACATAAATCATCGCATAAATTCAGTATTTATTCATATTTATGACCTTTTATCATATTTATTTAATTATGGCTCTAGTAATGCTATCCCACCAATGCATGTTAATATATACATTAGTGTATACATATTTTGAACAAGTATTAAGTTTTAGTCTATTTTTAAAACCTGAAATAAGTAATTCCGAAATCGGAACAATATATGAAATATTATAAAATTATTATCTAAAAGTATTAATCAATTCTTCTGCTGTCTGCACATACAATGTAATAATATCTTTGGTTGATATTTAGCAATTAAGAGTGTAGAAGGCAATACCATACTAGTAATAAGGTTGTCATATACAGTTCTATCCACAATTTTATTTAACATTCAATCCTTGATTATATCACTTAAAAATATACACATATATTAGTTACAAATAACATGTGGAAGTTATTTTTTTAAATATTATCATATATGTTGCATTAGTGATAGAACAAACATTTGTAGGTGCATATTCTCTCAGGTAGCATGTACTTTTGACCCATATGACCTTACAAAAGCTGGTATATTTCAAAAGTATGGAAAATCTAAACCAAGTATGACAACCTTATAAAAGAATATTATAGGTATATTTTACAAGCGTTGAAAATTTAAACCAATAACGAATCTTATAAAATAAAAATAACCCAGAGTTACTTAATCTGGCTCATGGCACTAACGGAGATAGAATATAACTTACAAATGCCAAGCAAAACATAGTGTACAAATGAACGAAAAATGAAATGGTTACATCTTTGCACTAAAATATTACATTTAATTCATATTACATTAAGTATAAAATTATTAATTTACAACGCGGTTATTATACATTTATAATATTGAAAGGTTATATAGCTATAATAACTATACTTTAAAGAAGTTTAAAGTCCAATAAATAGGGGTCTGAATGGTTTGCCTTAAAATGTCAAATTATGTTCACTCATAGCTAAGAATAGAAGTAATACCTAATTTTGACGTGAAATTATCTGTAGAATAGGTATATACAATGTAAGGTACATGTAAATTCTTTAAGTACTTTGTCACATTAACATTGTGGATAATTCCATACATTTTTATATATTACCAATAAATTGTTTTTGTGACAAGATACCAAGTTTGAGACTTTTAAGGCAACTATACTTAGTTACTTTTTGTTTCATAAGCTCATGTAAAATTAATTTGAATTGTATTTGAAACGTTTTAGCAAGAAATCATTACAAATAGATTATTATTATATTATATTACCAATATATAGATTTAGTAGATTATATACAAGTTCGGAATTAATGTTGTCCAATATATCGAATGGACTTGTAATTTTGTAATTCAGCACCATACAATTTTAGTAATATCATTCATGATAACAATTACCATTCCTTCTCACTTCATTTCTATTATTTATAACATAATATTATGTCATTTATGTTTGAAACATATTATTTTTAAATTGTCAAGTGTAAAATTCAAATCAATAATAAAAAAAATCAAGCTCGTAATATCATCACAATGATTTGTATAACATCTATAATTTTTCATTAACATTGGAATGATGTATGATATTAAGAATTCATTATTAAAATAATTATAGTAAATTATTTATGTAATATTTATAAAAATTATTTATTCGAGAATATTTAAAATACTTAACACAGCACTCAGAACTTTTAAACAATTATGCATTAAAATAATGCGAATGAGTAAGTATTTGTAAGATATTTTTAATAGTTTGGGATACCACTGTTATTTGTGGTATTTTAGTAAAGTGATCCTTCATTCTGAAATATTTTTCATAATTCATTCACATGTAAATTCTGTTTTTCTACATTTGATATATTCAACGAATAGGAAGTCTATTTGTCACAAATATATTTTGGTTATAATATTGAAGACTAATCAATTGTGAATAATCCTATTAGAAATGTTATTGAAAAACTTATTAGAGTATTATTTCATATATAGAATAATATACAATATAATTATCAGGCATACATTTTAATTGTAGTACTTCTTTATTAAAAACACAAGTCATGGTTGCGAATAAGTGTCAAGTATAAAAAAACAGAACATTATTTATACATTAACATGTTCTTATTTCAACAAATCGTTCAAAACTACGAATCATGTTCATTTGATCCTCTAAAACATTATAATAATTCCATTTTATAGTTTCAAGTTTATTCAACTACTAAACAAATATACAACTTCTGTACATATTTATAATTTTGCCGTTGGACTCATCATTATGTGCATTCCTTAAAAATACATTTTACCAACACTAACTAATGCTATAGTGGAACACAGTTCTATTCCCGACTAATTCACTTCTATAATGATTTATCTGTGAATAAAGAAAACGTGTATAATAGAAATGGAAAGGAATAAACGTTGTTTAAACATTACAGTACATGAAGTATAATCTAATTCATTAATTTTATTTCAACTAAAGCTTGTGTGTCTATTAATAACTAACTGACTGACTAAAGCTGCTAATATACAGTCGATAAGTTGTCAAGTAGCTCAAATAAGCATCAACGAAGTGGCGGGGCGAGCTTAATGCACCTATGGGAATCTATGGAAGAGTGTAATATTTGAAACACTTCTTGCTCGGAACGCGTTAATTGGCCGACAACGGTTGATCATGTTACAAAAAGTATAATACTAATACAAATACCTACTTATGACAATTATATAAACTACCTAATTTTAACCATGTATTACAACGAGTAGTACAAGTAGTAGACTGTATGCCAGAACTGTAATTCTTTTGTCCTAAGAAGATATGGCAAATTTAATGGCTGGTGAAAATGGTAAGGTGTGAAAGTGTAATACAAGCTCGTTGGCTTTCATTGTAAACATAAATTATTAGTTTGAATACTACAGCTAAATCCGCGTATCCTTTACTCATTGATGTTGGTAAATTTGTGTCTGGTACCTCATCAAAGTTGCCATCATGTTAATTACTTTATAATCTATACATATAAATAAAATTACAGTGTCTGTTTGTAATATTGAAATAACCGTTTTTTACTACATGCATATGAATATAAATACGGTACATACAACAAAAGAACATTTTTTACAATTTTTATATCTCTGTCTGTCTGTCTGTTTGTTCCGGCTAATCTCTGAAATGGCTGCACCGATTTTGATGGGACTTTTTTTGGCAGGTAATAAGCGGTAACTAACTTTTATTTTAGAAAAATAAAGTTAAATTCCACACGAAATCGCGGGTACAGCTAGTAAGTAATAAATAGATGAACTAACCTCAATATTTTGTGCTCACTATACATGTGTGTTAGTGTTTGATGGTGATTTTGGAATTGTACTTGGTGTTGGAGTATCCTGTAACAAAATTAAAATTTAGAATAATATAGAAAAAATACCGTAGTGTTTATTGTCATGGTATTCTACACTATTAAATTCATGTGCGGTATATATCTGATATGTATAAACTAACACATCCGCGAAATAATAAATAATATGATTCATTAATTCCCCAAAACTTGTTCCTGCTTGAGTGATGGTCTACTCTGGAAACATATTCCGGTCCATAGACAATGAACTGAGCCTTTTCAAAGTATTCAAAAATAAAAGAGTGACGCATAATGGCTCAAAATACAGTTTTACAATAGAACAAGCAAGAAGACAAGAAGAGCTTTGAATAATTTTAAAATAACAGTACAATGGTATGGATATTGAGAGTACACTAAAGAGATAGAGTATATTTAAATGATTGTATGTATGTCAACTTGGTTAGTGGCACATTTACTCTTAAGTGTAATCACATCTATATCATTTTTTTTATACCACGTAGGTGGCAAACAGGCATACGTCCCATCTGAACAGGCATGGTACTCTTCTGGTACAGCTAAATCATTCCTTATTGATAATGTTGTTTCTTGTTTACATTTAAATTTACATTTATTGAATTGCTACAATTACTAAAACATTTAAACAATGAAATTTATTAACTTTTTATTGCTAAACGGTTACCGTAGCCTATGGCCGCCTGAAACACCAGGTGTCCCGTGCGCGTTGCCGACATTTAAGAAACCTTATTGAAAAACCCCATGCTCGTGAGAAAACTTCAGCAGGTAGTTCATAGAGATGGTAATGGACATGTTCTGGAATTGCGTAACCATAGCAAAAGGGCTTTTCTTATATATCTATTTAAATTCACACCATTTTTGTACTGTTAATAATAAAAAAAAACTATATAGAATTATACACTTACCTCATCTAGATCTGGAGATATAGTCCCGTTTCGTATAGACTCCCTCAGGGTATCATCATCCTCGTCGGTGTGCACGTCATAGAACTCTTCACTGTCCATTTCACCATCAGTTCCTGAGAGTCAGAGTTATTTATTTATTTAAAGTTTAGGGTGACATGAATGGTACATGAAAATATATACTATTTGAGGATTCTTGCTATTGCAGACATCTCATAAGTTAGTGTAATTGCTGAAATGTCTGGCTAACTCCTCGGATCTGCTCCTGGCGGATGTTGGCAGGAAGTGGTGTGAATTAATTTTAAAAGCTGTTTTAGTAGATATTGGGGATAAATTAACTGTATTAGTATCTTAATAAAGACCTATTTACGTGAAATGAGAAAAAATTTGTGTAAAATTATTTTGTTTCATTTAAATAAAATAATACTAGGGAAACATTCTAACTATATATTATATTTATATAAGTGACACTATAGAAGAGACTGCAGACAAAGTGGTAGTACCTAATATGTGTTACTACATATTAGGTACTACCACTTTGTCTGCAAACAAATTAAACAAAGTAATAATGTACTCCTAGATTCATAGGAGGATGTTGTTGTTCTCTTAAAGATTGAGACACTTGCCCATGTTTGTAGTCAAAGTAATATAATAATAAAAAATAATATTGGCAATAGATTGTTTGGTGAAGAGGGATTTTTTAAAATCTCAGTATTGTCAAAGTATTCAATACATACCTAGTACAGATTGATAGTCGGTGAAATATTCCGAATCTGATGCATAACTTTGCTCATGTCCGTCTATAGCATCTCCACTGGGAACAACCTTCGCTTTCTTTTCTCGTCTATGGACATTCTTCTTTTGTTTCAACCTACGAAGCTGGCTAAGTAACAGAAAAACTTTTTTTTTATTCTCAGTCCATATTTCTTATATAATTAAGAGTGAATCCATTCTGTGATGCTGTCATGTACAGTGGCTTCCCACTGGAAGCTTCTACTCATATGCAGCCTAGAGCCACTTCCGGTCTTCTAGCTCCAGGATATGATGGTGTTTTAGTCATCTCACATAGATGTCTATGGTGAGTTGCCTAGCAAGTTCACATTTATTTTTGTAACAGGAATATCAAATAAGGTACATCTAATGAGAAGTGGTAACCATTGTCTATGTCTATGTACATCAGCATCACTGACATTATATTATTATCTATATATATTTGATATCTATGGTAAAACCAAACAATATGTGCATCTTGTAATTTTACTACCTTATCTTAGCCACCAACAATATCAGCTTATAAGCTGCTTGGCAGCTGAAATAAAGGTAAATGAGAGCTTTGTAGGAAAGTCTACATCAGTAAAATTGTTTAATACATTTACCTTTCTTTTTGTAGCTCTCTGAGTGCTTCTAATTCTGTTCTCATAGATGCCACTTGTTTGTCTAGTCTTGCTACTTCACTCACTGTAAAAATAAACAATTCATTATTATTAATTATTATAAGGGGTTCATTCATGCAATCAATAAACTATATATCTTCAAGATTTATATATAGATATATAAAAATGAATAAGTCTGTAAATAAGAAATAAAGGTATTCGATAATATTGGATAGAGGCGGAGCCTAAACTACTAATTACATTATGTAACCATTTTATTAGCTATTTGTATTTTACTCTTGAAATTCCTGATAAAATTAATATCCGTAACCGAAATTATCTAAATTTATTATTAACTACTGGATGATCCGAAATAATTTCATATCCACATCCAGTATAATAATCATTCCTATATCCGAAACCTATCCATATCCGAAATTTCATATCCATAACATCCCTGCTGATCAGTAGTTATTCAGGATTATCTCAAAACAATAAAATATATGTAGTTACATTCCAATTACCACTGACATATAAAAATGGAAATAAAATATTATTGTTTAGTATTATATATATAATAGTATTTAATAGAGAAGGCCATAATATAATTACATTACAGGAAATGTGGTGTGGAAGAAGTGCACTGTGCACCCATATTATAAAATAATATACTTATAAATATACTAACCTAACATAGCCCTCCTCTTTTCAGCATACATTTGCTCATATATAAACACGCCGGCGGCACCAACAATGCCCACAATAGCGGCTCCAACCATCACACGTGGATTTAAAATACTGTTTACATTCATTTTAGCAAAAGAATATTACAGATCAATTGTGACGTACTATTTAGAAATCAGATTTCGTATCTAATGTTAATTAGTGCTAAGAATGATAATTACTTGCGCAATCAACAAATGCACATTACACAAGCATAATTATTTATTGACACTATAAAAGACGTTGAAATGAAATAAAAAAAATATTTTAACAAAACGACGAGTGTTGAATAGAAGTAAAAAAATATATAAGACTGACACCGAATATATATCTACGCAAATGTTTTAAACAACTATTTCAGAGATTAGTGGATTTATATTAAGCATAAATATTAGTTATGTATTACAATTTGCATTTTTATTTTAGGTATATAGAAATCATTCATAATAATTATTGACAATTGACAGTATTTGACACAATACACACAATCACAGATTATTCAGATTAAAAATGCAATGGTTTATCAAATGAAGACAGTTGACATTGATATATTATTTTAGGTAATGATTTTACGGCTTTGTAATAAGACCATATCCTGACAATAGAACCACAGGTAAGAGAATATCATAACCAATTAAAAAATCGAAGAGTTTAGAGTAGACTAATATGTGAAACTTATTACTATAACTCTTCAAAACTATTTACAAAATTTCCTTTATTTATGCATGTTTCCAATTACACAAATGTACAAAAATATAATGTAAACTTTCAAAGTCATCCCTGGAGCACAGACTACAAAGTGGTTGTTATTGTGATATCAGTCTATTCTTAAATCTTGTTATTTCTATTTCATTTGTCCACTATGTTTTGATTGTTTTCAATAATTATGTACCCTTATTATCAAATAAAAATATTTTGATATTTATTAATCATGATTAAAATAATAAGCGCTGAGCTGAAATAGTTATATCGACGTCTTATTTTGTGTATTTAATTAACACTTTTGTCAACTCCAGATTATTTTGTAAGTACAGGAGCGTTCAATAATTTTGTATATTTTTTATTTATATACTTATAGATATTCTTCCAATGTATAGTTTTAATATTAAATTATAATATATATTTATTTTATATAATTTAATGTATATTTGTCGGTATATCATATCCTAGTATAACGCTTCTGATCATATTTCAAATTTGTATTAATACATACTTGTTTATTCAGTGTTTGATTTCCTCGCTTTAATACCTCGCATTAATAGCAGAACACAAAAAGAAAAAAACATATATTTAAAATTTAAATGTTTTAGACTTGACAACTTGAGTATGGAACCTCATGAAACTGAGCTGTTGATTGAAAACAAAGAGGATTCATCTGTAAACAAAGAAATAAATGACCTTAACCAGGATGAAAAACTTACAGAGTCAACAGATACAACCAATAAAAATATTCCAAACCTGTATAGTCAGATATATGAAGATTTATCTCAAACTATTGAAACTGATGAAAATAAACTTAACTTAGATCTGATAACGGATGATGATGATGATGACCTTAATGGTTACAATATACAATTGAGATGGGATGATGATGAGGAAGATGAGGAAGCTCTTCTTAATGATACACCTATTGAAGATACATTAGATACATTTCATACAATACAAAGTGAAGTACAACAAGAAGTTACTGAAAGTAAAAGCACAGTTGAAGGAAATCATGAAAAAGATTTAAAAAACTTAGATGAAAATGTAGAGAAGAATAGTAAAAATAATACATTAGGTACAACTTTTAATAGTTTGAACAACATACCAACTGACTCTACAGAAGAGGAGAAGCTATGTGATATAAATAATACAGAAACAATTTGCTCTAAAGAAAATTTGGATATTCAAACTTCTGAAACTGGAGCTGATAATATGAATGTTACTAATATTGGTACAGTTTTAGAAAACACTCTTAAAGATACTGATGACTGTCATGATAAACTTGAAATTACTATAAAGTCAACTGAACAAAAACAGACAATTATAAATAGTGAAATTAAAGAATCCTCTAATATGGATATTCCAATTCAAGAGTTGAGAGATAATATGGACAATACTGATGTTGTATCACAAAGTAATTTATCCAGTGTATCACCATGTAGTACCAAGTTTGATAGCAATCCTGTAGAAGAGAAGTCAAATATGATTCTTGATGATGAAAATATAGAAAATATTTATAGCTATGTAAAACAAATAACATCAAAAGACACATCAAAAATAGAAATTAATATGGAAACAATACAGAAAGAGAATACAAGTGGCTTACAAGACTCTAACACGGAAATAAATAAAAATAATTTGGAGTTAGTAACTGGAAATAAACAAAATGAAATAAACCCAGGCTCAAATGAAAATATCAGTAAAGATAAGTTAGAAGCACTACTATCAGATGAACAATCAGTTTTGAAAGATGTATCTGCTTCTCAAGATATGAAAATATCTGTTATTGATGAAACATTGGATGTAAATGAACAACAAATAGAGGCCTCAAGTAAACCTACTTTAGATAAAGAATTAGGCACAAACAATAAATTAAAAACTGAAGATAAACCAGTTATCAACATTGATCTGCAAGTGCCACCTTCCATTGATGATAATCAGTCAAATATAGATCAAGTAAACCCAGTTGAACCTTCAACATCTTCTGAGGTACAATTAAGTATAGATGCACAAAATCAACAATCAGCATTAGATAAGATGGTAGTGGTAACAGATGTTACAGATAGTTTAGGATTGCTAGCTGAGTCATCAAGAGTTATAGAAGATGATGAAGAAGCTGATGAAGATGAAGATGGAGAAGATGATGAGGACTTTGATCCAGATGATGGTGAGTTAGATGTTTTAAACATTTGATAGGTTTCATTATGTATCTATCTTTAAATCAAATTCCTTATAAAGTAGGCAAAAAACAAGCCCAATGCCTGGAGCCAGTATTAGTATTGATGAAATTTAACAACTCTGTATGGATATAAAAGTAAAAACAATGATTTACTACCAATGTCCATTTACAAAGCACACCTCACCTCGCAGGATTATTATTGTAAATAGTATTAATTTTATTATACTTTTACAGAAAGTAGTAACCAAATGACAGCTGATCACTCCGAGGATTCAAACCCACAATATTCAGAAGCTGAGACAAAGGATAACGATGAGAAAGAACAAGAATCACCAGAGGTGAAGAATGAAGAGTTTGACTATGCTATGACTAATGATGCAAGTATTGATAAAGACATGGACATTGATGAAGTACAATGTGCAGATGTAAGTGTGGTTTTATGCTATAGTTATGTCTAAAGTTAGACACACATATGCAGCGCTATCTAGTCCCAAGCTAAAAAGGCTTGTGTTATGGGTACTGCACCATTTATATTTATTTAGATACATTTTCATATAAACCCATACATAACATACATAGAAAACTTCCAGACTAATAATAACAATCATACTTGTGAACAGAAAAAGGAAAGCTGTGTACTAAACTGCTAGACCACTGAGGCTATTGATTATTTTACTATAACAATAATATAAGGTATCTAGTTATAGGAACAAGTTTTGCCTCTCTGACTAGTGAAGATAGATAGAGGGATGGAATGGAAAAAATATGAACCCATAAAAAATTATTTAATAGATATCTGACTAACTTTTACTTCATACAGAGGTGCACCCTTCTTTATCACCTGTCCAGTGTTTATAATTTAACTATGTAATAATTTCAGGTTGACATGAGCACAGAGGTAAATATGGCAGATGATAATATAGAGACAACAGACAATGCTTTACCAGAGCCAGATGAAGCAGCAAAACCAGAAATGGTAAGTATGTATTCTCAATCAAATGTGTTTATACACCTCAAGTTAAATTTCCACATTAGGCAACCACTATTATGTTATTTGTACAGCTGACAACCTAGACAAACTAAAAAACCAGGATAAAGCTTTGTCAATTCTAATGCCATTAAAATCTCGGTTCTCATATGGTATACTTACATTGTAGGGCTTCACAACTGACTTCACTATATCTCGAGTAGGCAAAGGCCCCCAGAACGGGCACTTACCAACCACCAACCAATAATTTTACTCTAGACCACTATGCAAAATATGGGCTTAAATTATATGGGGACTTGGGTGTCACTCTTTTACATTAGCATATATGGAGGACATTTTAGCTGCTTATGAACATCCAATTTTTTGTATTAATTTTTTTCCATACTGTCCAGTTCAGTTTCATACTTCTTTAATTGAGAAGAACTGGCAAGAAACTCAACTATATATGAGATATATTTAAAACAAGAGATACTCAATTAAGTAAAAATTACCATGAATTTGTTCCAAAATACTAAATTTGGACTATTTTTTAAAGGAGTGTTATACATTATTTCAGTATTTAAGCAAGACATACATGTTTTATGAAACTGCGTGTCCCTATTTTCTCTTACAGGTTGAACCATTAAAATCTGAGTCACCAAAAAATGTAGAATCAGAGGATACACCAAGTGTTTGTGATGATGCCGTAGCTGAAACCACGCAAAGCATAAATATATCAGAGTCGACGTTGTCAACAGGTTAATTTTATTATTTTGTTTTATTTATCTCCGTTATTATGTACGACAGCGACGATTCTGGGGTAATCCCTTTTGATGTATCGCCCATCCAATTCCATAGAGGATCTAAATTACGACGGCCCGAGCCGAGGTTCGAATACTTAGCGCCCCCAAACTAATGTCGTATCCGTCAGGCGGGACCTATAGCCGCCCCATAAGTTCTTCCGCGGGTTTGGAGTGTTATCTGCACTCGCCCCCTATCGTCTGGTGAAGCTGTAAAGGCCAGCTCCGGCCAACAGCGTTAGATGAAACCGGAAAAAAATCTGTTGTACTATTACTGTAATATTGATCCTTATGTTGTGGATTAGGTAGAAAATTAAACTAGTAATATGTATATATATATTTTAATGAAGACAGAAATCTGCTGTTCTATTATTTATTGTGTGTCAATACAGTTATTATTGATGTTAGATAACAAAATGGAGACAGATGTGGACAAGAACAAACAATCACCAACTAAATCGAAGCTCATGATCTCTCAACAGAAGAACATCCTAAATATTGTTGATTTGGAGGAAAGCTCTGATGATGGTGAGTTTACAATATGATATGAGTAGTAGCAGTTTGCAATTATGTATGTTTCAATTGCTAACATTACAACTTAATTTATAAATTTTATGGAGTTCATATAGTCTCAGTTCAGATTTTTATCTGTTACATAGACTATGTTACATAAATAAGCCCCAGGTTCCTAATTAAAATTTATCAATAAAATTTTAGATGTACAAGAAGTTGAGAAGGAAATAAAACCAAAGGTGGAAGTGCCACAGCCAAGTCCTACAGATGAAGTGATAAGTGTGAACATACCAAAAGATGTTGAAGTCATGTGCACATCGGGCGGAGATACCTCCGAAATCGTCAGCAAACAAGGGGAGCTTGTAATCAGCGGATTACCGAAACCACCTCCTATGAAACCAGTAAGAATATATTGATATTTTAGGACAGAATAATAATAAAATCCCTTAACAATTCAGACAGTGCCATTTAGTGCCAAGTTAAGCAGATCTTGTGTTGTGGGTATATGGTACCTGATATACTTAAACATAACACGATATTATTATCCTATATTATGTAAAAGGGCATCAGTCTAGGTCTTTTTTTTTTTTATGGATGATAATGGAATGGTGCCCCCGCCTGCGCTAACGGTTTACACTGGCGGGGCACCAGTGGTGGATAATAAGATGAACATGAGATGAGTTAGCCCATCGTGACAAATTCACTAGGAATTTATCAGAATGGTAGTGGTTCCAGGGGGAACCGCATGGAGGTCATCCTGATACATTGCTAGCAATGGGGTCATCAGTCCACATTACTAACAATCACCTTTCCCCCCAGTCTAGGTCTTAGTAGCACACAGCCTTACTTCCAATGGTCGCAGTTTTATACATACTAACATTTAAGCTTTGCTTACCTTGGGACTAGATGGCGTTCTCCAGGGATGTATATAATACCCCAATATGATACAATATCATAATCCTCCATTAACATTTCCTAATTTATGTTTTCTTTTATTTGAATAGGCTAGGTTGAATACGGACGAAGTGACTATTAAAACGGCTAGCACTCCAGCCGAGTCCACATTGGTTATACCAGAAACACAGGTAAGCTACAAGTGGCATATACTCATAGAAATTCTTCAGTACGTGCGTTTGTCACGTAACTCGTCCTAATCTGAACCGATTTGAATGAAAATTTTAATGGGTCCTGAATGGTTTAGAAACATAGTTGATCGATCTCTACCGGTGCTACTAAATAAATACTCTGTGTACTAAATAATAAATAGAGATACTTACATATTTTTTTTTTTATAAATAATGTCGAATGTACTACAAAATAATGGTGTAAATTTCTACAAATTCTTATCCCATATGGTATATGGGAATCAAATAACAGAACCGCAACTATCAGAATATCAGCCAATCATAAATCTCTACACTACGAACTTATTTGGCACATTTGCAGATTATTCCAAATAGTTGATACATAATCCCAGAACTTTTTATTTCAATAATACCAATGAAATTGGTACTTAATCAAGTACCGGTTCTTTAGCGAACCCTTAATAATAAAATATTAAATTGTTCTGTCTGTCACATTTATTTCATAACTTAAATATATTTTATACACAGCAGCCTGTAGATGATGCAAGCGTACCGAAATTGGGTCTTGAAATATTCAGCTTAGACTCAGACGAGGAAGATGCGACTGCCACAGCGCCAAAAGGTATCAAAAAAGTTTATATATAAATTTTAAATAGTATAATTTATATAAAATATTTCTATTTACTTACGCAAAGTAATTTTTTAATTATTTGCAAATCAATATATGTCAATACATAATAGTAGTAATATATAATATTAGCCTCAGTGAATTTTAATTAAATTTTCATAAATATTTCGAGTTTTTCTTACTAGCTTTTTATACGTATATTGTGCGCCATCCTTGACTTATACTTTACATCCGTAAGGTGAATAGTGTAATCTAAATTATGCTAGTACCTAGTAGTCGTCGATAACATAATAAACATACTAATATATGTATTTTATAGAAAACTTTCATATATACGAGTATAGTATTCACAGAAATACCCCAAGTACCGCGTCCAGAATCACCAAAGGAGCTGACAGCTGTGGAAATAGAGAAAGCGCGCGAAAACAATAGATGTATTAATTACTCCTGCAAAAATACTCCTGGGGTAGCCTACTTTCAAGCGGATGCGGCCGTTGTGGCCTACTACGACGCGTCGCGTAAACGAAAGGCAACCGTATGCCAGATTTGTGCTGATGCTGTCACAAAGAGAACACAGGTTCGTATACTGTAGGAGATAAAGTTCATTTTAATTTGGGAGGTCCGTTGCTACTACGTGGGCCGGTGCTGGCTGAGAGCTGGTCTAATTCCTTGCCATCAGATATGTTGAAGTTACGTAAAGCAATCATATATGGTAAAAATTTAAAGTCAAATGTCGCGTTCACTACTATACCGATATTTAACAATACCTCATGATATTAGTCATGAGGTATTGTTAAATATATAAATATCTAAAAAAGGCAGATCATTGTTCAATATGTCAATGATCAGTATAGTACTGGATGGTGTAATAGCGATTTCATATCTGGAGCGCTGGTCGTTTAGCCTCAATCAACACATTGTACAGCTGGTAAAAAATCAACAAACATATAGAAAATTTTGCTTTTTTATGTACCAAGTATACCTCGGTTATTTATTTTGATAATAAATGTATTTGTAATGGTATGTAATTTGTAACAAACGAATTATTTATATATCTCTCCAGAACCTTATCAACGGCATCAAAGATTTCACTCCTCTCCTTGAGTTGGATATGAGCAAGTTGTCACAGGAGTTGGTCGAGATATCCGATTCGGAGTCTGAGGATGAAGCAGATACCTCGGATGAACCGAAGGAGACCATTGGAGAGGCAGGTGCTAAGTGAGTACTTTAATTTTTTAATAAAAACACATTTGCAATCTTCTTTAAATTTAGAGTTATTATAAAATAATACCAGCGCGCGCAATCGTGTGAGATTGCATTTAACTTTTTTCTGTGTTCAGTCTTTGTCCACATTTACATGAACATTGTTTCCTTTGTAAAATGCAATTTGCTCGTGAAAGAGCGTACGTGTAAAGGCAGTTATTGTTTTATTTGGTCTTGATATTGGAGTTATTCTTTGCGTAGGTTATTAGAAGAGCAGTTGGCTGATATAATAAATGAAACATGGAAGAAGTACAAGATGGACCAGCGGCTCTCCAAAACAGAGGATGACCTCAACAAACAACTAAGCTTGTTAGAAGGCAAGTCATGTATTAATAAAAAAGAAAAAAGATTAAAAAGTATATTATTTATACACATCAGTAATTTCTGAGATGCAATAGACAACGTTTATTTATCTATTGTATTTTTTATATAAGAAAAATGTGAATTGTTTTCAGTTATTATTAATTCAATTATAATCAATGTTTAAAATACTATACATAATAAATTAATAACATATTTTTTATTTGTAATTCATCGCGGTACTAATTAAGGCAGTATTTAAGGAAACCACAATACACTATATTGTTTGGGTTTAGGCAACACGCCCTAGATTATTTCTTTACCTATAAAACGTAGAATTATACATTCAATAATTAGTACTAAAGCATTTGTATAATCTGTGACTGTACAGAGGAGGGCAAAGAGATTGACACATTACTGAACGAGTGCCAGCGGGCGACGGACAAGCTCCGCAGTGATCTGTACGTTACCTTTGAACCTAAACGGCACGTATTACCCCCTCTGGTAATAATCGACACGCTCAACAACGTGGTAAGTTGACAGGATAATTCCTTTTTTTATGTAATTAGCATAGCAAACAGGCTGACGCCTCACCTGATGATAAGATGGTCGTTTTAATCCATCCTTTAATTTTTTTGCCACTTGGGAGGGAGAACTTGCCTGTTGTTTTAAGGAAATGTTGAACAACTACATTTTTAAGTATAAATATTTGTGAATACTAACTACTAATAACTTCAGTAGAGTCAAACTATTTTTATAGTTGGCTAAGTCAAAATTTTTATTTATTTTAGAACTCAGGGTAGACCTGATATACTATTTAATAACTTATAAATAGTGTCGTTGTAATTCAGGGTAAATAATTCTTGGGCGCCATTCATAATTACACCCAAAAAGGTTGTGAGTTCAAATCTCACCGACATAATAAAATTTTGTGTTTTAATTTATATTTCTGATCCTTTCCGATGAAGGAAACACCAATATCAAAACAAAAAATAATACAAGAGGCGGCGGTAGTTGTTGAATTCAAGAATATGTACATTACGATATGTAGGCACGTGAAATGTTGCGTCACCACGTATGTCTTTTAGTAATTTATTATAAAAATAAAATCAATATTTGTTTTCAGTATACAACGACTGAACAGGCATTATCAGAAAATAACGCGGCTGTAGCAGATGTAAGTGTAATTTGTAAATCATTACATTAAATTAATAAAATAAAATTTACAAGATATTGCTCTTGTAATATGGTTAAAGTTTATGAAATTAGAATGCTAAACAAGCTGATTATCCACCTAAATGTTACTGGCAACCATTGCCTATGTTTAAATGAACAGCACCATGATATCATGTCAAGATTCGACGTTCATGTCAGATTATAAAATTTTAATGTACTGTGTAATAAACAAAGGTGAACACGGCAGACTTGACACCTTGACACATTTTCATCCAATTACTATTTATAATTAACACAGCTCCATCTAGTTCCACAGTAAGCAGAGCTTTTGTTATGGACATATACTAGACAACATATAAATACTTAGATTTTTTTGTAAATACATACATAGAAAACACCCAGACCGATACAAACGATCATACTCATGAATAAATATGTTTGAACCGTGCGAGAAATTCAACCCGCGACCATTGAAAGTAAAGCGGTGTGCTAAAGCGCTAGACCACCGAGGTCGTCAATAAGTGCATTAAAATTATCTAAGGAAATAGATATTCTTTATCATAGAATCGTCAGAAACGTCGTTTGTCAAACGCAAGCGAGTCGACCAGCAAACGGCCAGCTATTCCGCTCGGCTATGCACCACTCGATGCTACCACCCTGACCGCTACCACCGCGACCGCTACCGTTCCTGCTATCACCTCTGACAAGCCACTGGTATTCTATAGTTGTAAATTTGTTTAGAAAGAATTAATAATTATTATTATAATTATGTACGATTTGAACATTAACAGCGCCATCTATCCCAATGTAATCAAAGCTTGTGTTATTATAGTTATATATTTAATCACACTCACTTATTCGTATAAAGGAGTATTTATTGATATTTTTAGTAAATAGCGTATCTATGATATAAACTTTTAATTATATCTGGTTTCCTGTCATTGTGTAGTTTAAAACATTTAATTTCTCTTCAGTAGTTAAACTGCTAAAAATATTCTAAACTACTAACCAAGGAATGTGTTTTTAAACAAGCAGGTATAAATTCGTATTCCATAGTTTATTATACTAATATTATATATTTAATAGTATATTAAACATTGACTTTGTGTTTTAAATATATTTTTTATTTTAGGAAACAAAGACTACAGCTTTGGACTCATCTAAGATCGACGATGATGTGAGTATTTGTTATTTGTGTGTATGTATATAAAGTTATTACATAGTATTATGCGCTGATAATTACATGTATATCAATATAATAATTTTACTTTATGTTTACTATGTACTTAATCTATTAATTAATAATATCCATAGATAAATAGAACTAGATATATTCAAGATTTTATTAAGATTTATAAATTAATAACAATAGGTCTATAATGTTTTTGCTCCATAGTCAAAAGTCCGCCATTTTGCAATGATAATTAATTATTTAAAAAAGCACTCACGATTGAGGAACTTGGCAATGCGCGACCTAACGGCGCGTGCAGACTGTCTTGTTCTGTTTGTCTATATTTACATGCACATTATTTTCTATGTAAAAAAGCATATGTGTAAAGATTATTTGTCATAAACTTCACATTATATGTTCACAGAAAGATATATCCGTAGTGAAGTTATCGGCAGAAGCCGCACCGTCGGACCTTCCTCCACCGGGCGAGTGCACACGGGCGCCACTGCGTGTCGGTATGAGTGTGTACGCAATACGTAACGTGTTCGGATCCTGGTCGCTTGCCAAGATCACTGAATGTCAACCGAGGACCAATATGGTGAGTTCAGAGTGAGATGATGTGAATTACGAACTTACTGATGCCTTGTTCATGTTTATACTAATATTATTAACGCGGAAGTTGTGGATGGATGTTTGTTACTCTTTCACATAGGTGTTATTTAGATGTACTTTTCTGTATAAAATTCACAGGCACAGGAAAGCACAGACACAACCAGTATTAATATAAAGTAAACCAATACACGCACGTGATCAGATTTTGGAATTAAGTACTTGCAGATGGTAGAATTATATAATTATTTTCTGTTTGTAATGGATAAACTGAAAATACTTAACCAATTTGAAATTTTATTTCACATATAGCAGTATCAGAGAGCAATAAAGACAACATCTTATTACAAAAATGGCATTTCTATGCATTCTTTATAATAATTTAACCCGTTCGGAGCCAGTGCGGTTCGCTAGGAACTAATGTTGTAGACAACTCTTCCAAAGTACATTAATGAATAGTGAAATTCAATTTAAATCCAAAATTACCACGAATCTTTACTATATCACTATCACCACAAATATTTCTTTTATATCACGATGGTGGCAAACAAGCATACAGCCCATCGGATGGTGAACGGTTACCGTAGCCTAAGGAAATCTGAAACAGCAGGGGTGCCACGTGCGCGTTGCCGACCCTTAAGAAACGTTAATATACTCTTCTTGAAAAACCCTATTTTGTAGTCTCTCTAGTAATATTTACCACAAATAAAACTGTAATAATCTGTGACCGCAGCACCAGTTCACAATATGCCGCGTGAGGTTCGAGAACCGTACGAAGAACATTAGCAGGAGTACGCCGGCGCGGTGTCTCGCGTACTGCGAGCCGGCCGACTGTAGGCTCACTATTGGTCAGTATATATATATATTATGAAGAAATAATATTTTTAATTTTTTGTGACGACAACCATGTGGCTTATTTGTTTTATTCTCATGTGTTGTTTCCTAGTTTTATTTATTACTAGCTGTTCCCGCGACTTTGTCCGCGTGGAATTTAACATTATTTTTCGAAAATAAAAGTAGCCTAAGTTACTCCTTATTACATCAGCTACCTGCCAAAAAAAGTCCCGTCAAAATCGGTCCAGCCATTTCAGAGATTAGCCGGAACAAACAGACCGACAGACAGACAAAAATTGTAAAAAATGATATTTTGGTGTATATACCTTATTTATATTCATATGCATGTAGTAAAAAACGGTTATTTCAATATTACAAACAGACACTCCAATTTTATTTATATATATATATATATATATATATATATACAGTGTATATATGTGTGAGGAATTGTACTACAATCTCGATATATCGTATCTCTTACGACTTACTACTGTGTAGGTATATATGAAGAGGAGGAATGTATATCTCATTGAAATTGCTACTGTGTAGGTATATATATATGCTATATATCGCATATACTATAGCACTCCATATGTGTTTCAACTAACTCCTGGAATGCTAAGAAGTTCGCCTCAAATCGCAGGAATTTTTATATCACCGAGATTTAAAACCATAGCTTTTGTGGTTGTAATCTGATAGTAAACTACCAAGTCTCGAACCTATCAAATCAAATCAGATTTTATTTGACGGACGTATTTCAGGTACCAGAGTGATAGCGTTGTTCAAAGACACCAGCAACGAAAGGAAGAAGGACTCCTTCTACTCTGGTGTAGTTGCTGAAATACCAAATCCAGTCAACAGTTACAGGTGACTGTTTTTTTCTTATTTAGGAGATTATATTATATTAAGGAAACCTGTCGCACTGCGACCTTTTGTATCTGTGGTACTCGCACTGTTAGAATATTGTACTAAGTCCTGTAACACACTGTTACAAGCAACTATGTCTGCTTTCATGAAATAAATTCTAGGTTATGTATGTCCTCGTGCTCCAATTAAACTCATTAAAATATGAGTCGTTTAGCTGCGTAAAGGTAAGAAACAGACAGACAGGCAGACGGCACACTTTGCAATTTATAAACGTTATTACGCATTAAACACCTATATATATATAGCAACTGTCATCCCAGAGAGGGTAGTTATTTTTTTATGTAATTAAATATGCCTGGCATATTTATACAGTCCTGTTACATAAAAAAACTCCTATCGTTATCTATGGTATTGAATTGTTTTTGTTTGTTGGAACAGGTACCTAGTGTTCTTCGATGATGGATACGCACAATACGTGCGGCACGCAGACGCGCGGTTGGTCTGCGAAGCGTCGCCACTAGTATGGGAGGAGGTGCACCAGTTTTCACGTGATTTCGTTCGCCAGTACCTCACCGCGTACCCCGAGCGGCCAATGGTGAGGCTGCACGCTGGACAGAGCCTCAAGACGGAGTGGAACGGTAACCCAACTTCAAGTATTATATTTCTGATGTCAAGTAATTTTATTTTAATTTAAGAACAATTCTAAAACTAAAAAAGTGGTTATTGGAAAAATAGTAATTGTTTTTTATGTATTGCCATACTAATTACATAATAAAAATATATAATATTTGTATATAATGGCTGATAATGGAATGTTGTACTCGCCTGCACCAACGGTATACGCTGTCGGGGCACCAGTGGAAGATGATAAGATGAGTATGAGGTCGAGTCACTTAGCCCATCGTGGCAAATTCACCAGAAATTTAAAAGATTTGTCACCAGGGGGAACCACGTCGAAATCAATCTGATTTGATTTAGCAATTGTTATTTATCCACATTACTAACAATTCTTTTCTCTAATATTAGTATGTTTTATTATATAAAATAGGTAGGTGGTGGACCTCTCGTGTAATAAAGGTGGATGCTTCGCTGGTACAAGTCCATTTTGAGGAGGACAACCGCACCGAATGGATATACCGAGGGTCAACTCGTCTAGCGCCCTTATACTTAGAACTACAAGCAGCCGAGCGGCATCGGGCTCGCCCTATGCCGCGCAATAAACAGTTGAAGGTCAATAGTGCTATGTATCATATTATTTACTGTTAAAACATGTATGGTCATTGAGTATTTTTTTTTAATTATTATATACTTTCCCTCTTACAAATTGTAATGTAACTTGCAATGTATATAAAGTATATAATATTATAAAATTTATTTTAATTTTTTTTATAAATAATAATTGTTGCCAAAAAAATGAGTAATTATGTTATGTTTTTTTTATTTATTTAATTACTTTGCCTTTTACAGATTTTATTAACTTACAATGTTTACAAAGTATTACACAATTTCTTTTGAATAATGTTTTAAAAGTATGTATATAATCTATACTAATATTACTGAAAAAAGACTTTTGTAATCAGTAAAGAAAACTTAGGAACACTTATTTGAGAAATTCTTTCATTGTTTAAAAGTACATCATGATTCTAAAGAGACATAAACGAAATACATATGATATATAAATATATATAGAACTCACAAAGTCATGAGCACCCTGGTAAAGCCAGGGCAAGTCATTAATGATATATAACCTCCATATTCATAAAACCTAATTAAATAAATTATCGTTACAGTCAAATATGCCATATGTGGAATACACGCGGTCCGATGAAAATAAAGCGACGGAGAACACGCAAACACAAACACAAACACAAGAGGTGGGTAATTATTACTATATAAATAATACCTATAATAATAATTAAATAAATAATCCAGAACAATTAACACAGCGTTATTTAGTCCCACGGTAAGCAGAGCTTGTGTTATGCGTACTAGGCAACTGATATAAACACTTAGATACTTCTAATTTATAAATACATATACATGATATAAGTATAAAACAACCCGATCGATGCAAACAAACATATTCATGAATACATAAATTTACACCGTCCAAGGTATCGAACCCGCAACAATTGAACGTTAAGCGGTATGCTAAACCGCTAGACCACCCACGCCGCAAATATATATTTATTGTTAATTAAAGAGCACTATAAAGCTCAAGACCACAGGCACTATTCGCAACATGTAACTGGTTGACGCCAAAGGGTTGCGTTGATAACGACATCCCAATAACAACCAATAAGAAGCACAAGCAAAAGGGTGGATACTAAACCACAATGTAATTTTTAAATACAATTATTGCAATTAAAAGTTTCATGAGAAGAGGTCATAAGTTTGATTTATATCACACTCTTAATATATACAAACAAATTAGCTATTTATTTAATGTGAATTTATTTGAAATTATTAATCAATTAGGAGATACGTCGGCAGCGAGCTGTTGCTAAGAAGTCGACCACTGTCGCTTGTCAGGCGGTGGTGGCGCCGCCCGCCATACCCACCAACCTCGACAGCGTCACCAGCAGAGTTGTAGTACGTATTATTCACCTGTATTCTCCTTTCATGTCATATTCCTTAAGACAAGAAAGAAAATCCAATCCGTGATACTGGCTTCTCATATTATTATACTAGCTGACCGCACAAAGGTGGTTCTGCCATATAAATTAAAATCGCTATTAAAAAATAGGGATTGATGGCAGAAGCGTGAAAATTTTGCATTTATAATGCCAATTGATTTTTTTTTTAAATGTTAGGGGTGGACAACAACTTACCACTTAGGGGTATGAAAAATAGACAGTCGATTCTCAGACCTACTGAATTTGCATATAAAATTTCATAAAAATCGATCAAGCCGTTTGGGAGAAGTATGGTAACTAACATTGTGACATGAAAATTTTATATATAAGATAATAATATTATGATATAATTTTTCAGTATTACACGCCAAAGAATGCGGTCAAACCGTACAAAATGGTGCCCCACGTCTGCGGTCCGAAGTGTAAAAGAACTGATGTCCTGGCTCTGAAGGAGCTGAGGACATACAATCCACTGGCCAGGCCGCTACTCAGCGGCTGGGAGAGGTAAGATCTTACATATTCCTATTTTTACTACCACCACTCTTAAAATAATTTATCTATTTTATATTTATGACATTAGTAAATTAATAATAATAATAATAACCCTGGTCAATTCATAGCGTCATCTAGTACCAAGCTAAGCAGATCTGTTATGGGTAATAGACAACTGATATACATAAATACCTTTTTTTTTCATACATACATAATACATTTTTTTCGATCCATCCTCGATCTTTGCACCCTACATACCTACCTTTTTAATTGATGATATCAATTAAAAAATCCTATTAGTAAGTTAGGTGGATCCATTAATGACGTTCGATCTCCACGTCCGTTAACAGACAGATAGTGCGTTATAAGGGCCAGAAGGAAGTGATGTACCGCGCACCGTGCGGTCGACGTTTGCGCGGAATGCGCGAGCTACATGGATATTTGTCCCGAGTTGGTTCCGACCTGCCCGTAGATCTGTTCGATTTTGCACCAAATACGCACTGTCTCGCCGAGTTCGTGCTCAACAAGTGTTTGGTTGGCAAGAAGGTATGTTCCCATTTACCATAGTGTCTATAGCGTTCACACACTTAAACTTCGTTGCTATTAAATAAGCTTATAAACTGTCCTCATAAATGATGTATCTATTCAATTCTACGCAGGATTTGTCCCATGGGAAAGAAAACGTTCCGGTACCATGCGTGAACTACTATGACGACTCGTTACCGGAGTTCTGTTCGTACAACACGGAGCGCGTCCCCACAGCTGGGGTTCCACTCAACTTGGACCCAGAGTTCTTGTGCGGATGTGACTGCACAGACGATTGTCAGGTATTTGTCACGGAGTGATATATGTTTGAAAAGAAACAAAATCATTGTAAAATTTAAATTTCTCTTATTTGTAATTTGTAAGATATAAAAGGATTTTTATTATATAGTATATATTTTTGTAAAGAATCATAATAATAATCTTTCTGTCATCATTGGTATTTTATGTAATAATACAGCATTTATGTAATAATAATAACCAAGGATAAATCGCAGCGCCATCTAGTCCAAAGCTACGTAGAGCTTGTGTTATGGCACTAGACAACTACATAAATACATAATTTTTTAATTCACATGTACTCATTAGTATGATTGTTTGCATAGATCTTGGTGTTTTCTACATGTATATGCCAAAAAAATCAATATTTACATCAGCTGTCCAGTATCCATAACAAGCTCTGCTTACCTTGGGACGAGATGACGCTGTGTGAATTGTCTATGGTTATCATATGGGATTTTGTACGAGCAAATAATAGCTGTTACTTCTGTTTGTCAAACTTCCGTTTATATCCCCATCCTATTCTATTGTTTTACATTGTAGTCCCTGCGTTTTATTTTCCCCGCTTGCTTTCTTTCTCTCTATAGATATAATAATAATAATCATATATTTATTAATTTTTACACAATGTCATTAATTTATAGGCCGCAACTAACGTAAATATAGATGTGTGTGAGAGAGAAAGAAACGAAAAAATAAACCCTTTCACTTCATGCATCAACCTATCCAATCCCACATACATGTGTACAGTCGATTGGATGAGTTCGCTAGTTAAATAAAAATTTCAACACAGGACAAATCCAGATGTGGTTGCTGGAAGATGACGCTAGAGGGCGCGCGGACCATCGGCCTGGACGGACCCAACGTAGGCTACGCGTATAAACGACTTCCGGAACCTCTACCTTCGGGTATATATGAATGTAACTCCAGGTAAATATTTTACCAATAACTAAATAACCTAGTGGTAAATAACTAAACAATAACGAAAAAATCATTACAAGTCGGCACAGAGTCCTTAGACATCATGTTTCCATATTTATTATTTATTAATTATTAAAAAGAACAATGACTTACAATTAAAATTAAGTGACTGTGTACTAAAAGGCATGAATGCTTTACCGGCCTGTGTGCGCGGCCGTATATAATACAATAAATTACTTATATGCTAAATTTATGACAGTTATACAAATTATATTACAACTTACTTTACTTACTTTTTTAAATCTACTAATAACTATTTAATAAACTTACTTGATATTCTACATATGTAGCCATTTATGATAGGGGATGCAGATACATAAATACAATTACATTAGTCTAATGAAGGTACTTTAAACTGCAACAGTATAAATATTATAAACCTATACATTCATAAATTAGATGGCACTATCATTGCATAGTATAAAACAAAGTCGCAATCGCTGTCTGTCCGCCCTATGTATGCTTAAATCTTTAAAACTACGCAACGGAGTTTGAAGCGGTTTTTTTAATAGATAGAGTGATTCTAGAGAAAGGTTTATATGTATAATACATGTACACACGGGCGAAGCCGGGGCGAGTAAGTTAGTAAGTTATATAATGCTGAATAACATTTATTTAAAAGAGCAACACGTAAGTTTCTTATTCTTCTTGTCATGAGTCTGCTGTCCGAATTAGCGGTAAAATAAAAAAGGTATATGACTATTCAAATGTTTAGCATATTTTGTTGTAAACAAAAATAATATATATTTTTAAACTGAATGATAGATTTTCATGCTTTATTTACCAATAAGTCTTAACATCTTTTGTACTTTTTCAGATGTAAATGCAAACAGACGTGTTTGAATCGCGTCGCTCAACATCCATTGCAGTTGAAATTACAGGTCATTCATGTTTTTATTTTATTCTACTAATAAAGGTCTTTAATTTGAGAGTTCATCAGATAATGTAGTAACCCGTCCTATCGACATTTGTCAATTGAAACCTGTTTTTACAAAACCCAGTAAAATTAAAAAGTTTATTATAATCATTACACATTACACACTCTATCATGTATTTTACACACACACACACTCATACGCTCTTTTGTTTATTGTTAAAGTCTGTAGTCAAAATGAGAATAGATTAATGTCTTTAATATAATTTGTCTATAGTCTTACTGAATGTTAAATTAATTATGTTCTAAATTCGACCACTGTGCTACTAGTTTATTTATTTAGTCTTAATTAGATATTGAGAAAATAAAATCATTATCATATTGAAATGAGAATTACATTTTTATATGACATCGTAAACATATTATTTTCGAAATTTTGTATTGCTTTTTTGTGTAACAAGATCTCAAATTGTGTTGTACAGGTGTTCAAGACCCTCAATCGTGGCTGGGGTATTCGGGCTCTGAACGATGTACCTAAAGGCGCCTTCCTCTGCGTGTACGCTGGTAACCTACTAACTGACGCAACCGCCAACTTAGTAAGTGGCTCCTGATTTTCAACACTTGGGGATAGGGTGTTCCCACCTCTCCTCCTCTCCTTCCGTCTGTCATTATTCGACACAATTTATTAAATATTTGTATACTCTTTACTGCATCAAACATCATACACAAGAATTAAATTGACCTTATCGCAATCTTTCCAGATAACTTTTGGGTACCGAAAAAATTACAGAAGGATACCTGAACTTCTACACAATTTATTTATTTATAAACACATTACAGCAACCAACTTACACAAGATTCACACTGTCAAGAGATATTAATGTACAGAAGGCGGTCTAAAGCAATCTCTTCCCGTCAACCTTTGGGTAGAAAAAAAAAAGTAGTAGGTAAAAAACGACAAAAAGATCCCTGAAGATGATGTTCCACTTGTGCCCCCCAACCTCTCTTTTTAAACAAGTTACCTGAAGACTGAACATATGTATCTTTCAGGACGGTTTGAACGAAGGTGACGAATATCTGGCGGAGCTTGACTACATCGAAGTGGTGGAACAGATGAAGGAGGGCTACGAAGATGATATCCCAGAGGCAGACAAGAAACTTGACAAAGTAATGATTAATTACTAACTATATACCAGAGTTTTACCAGCGTGAATCGTGTAAAAATTAGCTTAAATCGGTCCCTGAATCCAATCTAGTTTTACGTCAATATCTATTAAGATCTGTTCAGCCAAAGAACCTACGTAATATAGAGAACACCCAGAGCAACACAAACAAATAATACTCATGAATACAAGTATTTGAATATTTTTTCATGAGCATTGAATCCTGCCGTGTGCTAAATCGACTCAGCAAGGCTGTCAATCATCTTCATTTATGTTTGTTGTATTTTGTATATTTATATTTAAAAATGTATTTATAACAGTTATCTAATGTAGTTGGTACTGCATAAGATCTGCTTACCTTGGGAATAGCGCTGTGTGAATTGTCCTGAGATATTATTATTTTTATTATGTGACGTGAAAATCTTATGTTATGTTGTTAGGCTGGTGCTCAGGATGATGACGATGATGACGAGCCGTCGTCCAGCTCGGACGAGGAGAGCCAGAAGAAGGAAAGACAAGAGGATGATGACTTTGAACCGGGACACATAGGACTGGGCCTTCAGGAATTCAAGTAATTGAAGTTTTTATTACAAACTGACTGACCCAAGTCATTTCGCCCGTTTTGCTATTATGTATACATTGCAGCTACGATCCAATGAATAATAGCTTGATGTTTTATAATCTATAGTCTTTCCCGAAAAAGGGGCTATACAACTCTAAAAGAATTTTAAAAATCGGTAGATTCAGTGACCATCCTATAATATTAGTTTAGACCGATAGCTAGTAATAGCGTTGTGAAATTGGAATCGGCTGTCATTATGATATTTTATTAACGGAACAAAACTGTTGTTTTTATTTTGTTTTGTGTATTTTTTATTATCATTGGAATGGCAAACCATGTAACGGCCTAGCTGAGGGAATATTGTAATTATCGCCTATAGACCTCAATAGTATCAGACAGACATAGACCGGACAACAAAATACACTATGATGATATTTGTTCTTTAAACCAATATCTTTTAAAACGAGCTACTCTGCTATGTTTTTTAACCGCAATAGTGAGTTGAAGATTTTCACTCGATATTGCCACCTTTGTTAATCGAAAGATTTATATCACGTATTTATCACGTACTATTACTATTTGTCTTGCAGGATATTTTTTTTGTGTTTATCCCACAAAAAAATATGAATTATCTTTTATTGCACAGATTTTCACAATTTGATAGCATGTTGATCAAGTAATTCATTGGATAATTATTTGCATTTATATAGGAAAATCGTTATTGATATTACCATGAATTTATTGATCATCTTGCGAATTATTGTATTATATGCGGTGATGTTCTCCTATTACATAAATACACAATCCGCTTGACACATCTGATATACGGTATTACAATGAATGATATGATATATATATAACGATAACGGCTTTATAATGACTTATTAACCGACAGTAAGCGTCTACGTATACGTAACAAGGAGAAGAAGGATAAAGTTAAAGCAGAACAAATAGAGAAGGAGAAAGCGGAGAAGGAGAAAGCAGAGAAGGAGAAGGACAAGAACGCCGAAGACGACTGTATTACTATTAGCGATGATGAGGAAGGTAAGAAATTGATTCTAAAACTAGTATTGCCCGTAACTTTGTATGCATTTATATGAAATCTACAAACGATAATCAAACGACAAAATAAAGCATTTGCTATTTATTTTTTTATAAATAAACTAATGGAAATAGAAATAGAAATAGAAATAATCTTTATTCAAATAAACTCATTACAAGCACTTTTGAATAGTCATATTTTGATTCTACCACTCATTCGGAATGCAGATTCATCACAAGAAGAATGAGCAAGAAACTTGTGTGTTGCTCTTTTTGATAGATGTTTTTTTATATAAATAATTACAGTGTAACAAGTAAGAGGCATGCGACAATCAACATAGAAATCGCTACGCACTCATTATTAGTGTAATCAGATAATATTGTCAGTGCTATGTATTTAAAATTTTTCTACAAAAACATTATTATCGTTAACGAATTCTTCAATTTTATAGTAAGCTTTTTTGCAAAGGAAGTGTTTTATTTGACATTTAAATCTTTTTTCTGGCAGATTTATAACAGACTCTGGTATTTTATTGTAAAACCTTACGCAATTGCCATAAAACGAATTACTAACTTTAGCCAAACGACATTTAGGTAAAATCAGTTTGTTATTGTTACGTAAGCTTTTATTAGTGCAATCACTAACTCTTTTGAAACTGTCTATATTCTTCCTGGCATACATGATGTTTTCATAAATATATTGAGAAGCAACGGTGAGGATATTTGATTCCTTAAAGCACTCTCGCAAAGACTCCCTGGAACCCATGCTATAAATGGAGCGAATGGCCCTCTTTTGTAAAATAAATATTGTATTTATATCAGCTGCTTTGCCCCATAACAAAATATCATACGACATAATGCTATGGAAATAGCTAAAGTACACAAGTTTAGCCGTTGCCACGTCTGTTAATTGTCTAATTCTTCTTACCGCATAAGCGGCAGAACTAAGTCGACTCGCTAATTTAGTAATATGGGCACCCCATTGCAACTTGGAATCTAATGTGATACCTAGAAATACAGTATCATCCACAAAATTAATAGGTTTATTGTCCAACATGATTTTTGAATCTACCGGCCTTACATTGGGGAGAGTAAATTTGATACATTTAGTTTTATTTGCATTTAGTAACATATTATTAGCCGTAAACCATTTTAAAACATAAGAAAGAGCACCGTTTACTTCGTCCAAATCATCAATATGTCGATTGACTTTGAATACTAATGAAGTATCATCAGCAAACAGAACTATGTCAGCTATCTTTTCTACCATATAAGGAAGATCATTTATGTAAACTAAAAATAAGAAAGGACCTAAAATAGAGCCCTGAGGAACACCCATTTTAATACTAGTTCCTTCAGACTTTACACCATTTATTTCGACAACTTGCATTCTATTATTTAGATAGGATTTCATCATGCTTTGTGCTTCATATCTAATACCGTAATGTTCAAGTTTGAGCAAAAGTGTTTCATGTTCAACGCAATCAAATGCTTTTGAAAGATCGCAAAATACACCGACTGCATCCTGAGACCTCTCCCAAGAATCAAATATATATTTAATGAGAGCTACACCGGCATCAGTAGTTGATTTACCGGCCGTGAAACCAAATTGTCGACTGTGAAGCAGTTTATTTACTTTAAAGTGTTGTAGCATTTGATTGAGCATAATTTTTTCAAACACTTTACTCAATACTGGTAAGATAGATATAGGCCTATAATTACCTACCACAGTTTTTTCTCCTGACTTAAAGAGTGGAGTTATTTTGCTATGTTTCATTAAATTGGGAAAAACACCGTCAGAAATACATTTATTGAAAATAATTACTAAATATGGAGATATCATATATGTAGATAGCATGCATAAATTTGAGCAATAGCTTATGTAAATATATTATACATTTTAACATAAAATACCTTCTTTTATTTTTCGCTCTCGCTTTCTCTTTCTCTCTCTCTCTCTCTCTCTCTCTCTCTCTTGAACACATATATATCTTTTCTTTTCACGCAACATTCCGCTTTATGTATCAACCTATCCAATCCCACCTTAGTATTTGGTAATAATTGTTGGTAATATTGTTAACAGTTCGGGAACCCTCCAGCTTTATGGCACAGGCGGGAATGAAATCAAATGAATTTGTGCCTAAATATAGGTGAGTTTAAGTTTTATTTAATGTTGTTAGAAGCCGCGTCAGAAGGTCTTCTTTTCTGAGTTCGTTTATAGTAATATAACTTTTGTTTTTACATAATTAAAAAGGCGAACAATCTTAGATTCACCTGTGGGCTAATTATGTAACTTCGTTCGCAACGATTTTCGTATGTAACGTAGTGAAAATGACGTCATCTGTCAATAATGCGATCATATAGACGCCATTTGACGCTGTCAACTAGCATTGCAACGTAAACGCAACTTTACATATCGATAAAAATTATTTCTATCGAATGTCGATTTAGTAACCTCGTTGCAACGTCACGTAATCGCTATTTTGCCGAAATGACAGCGTGGAATTGAAACGGTTTTTACATTATGAGAAACAATTTAGAAGGTGTTTCTTTTGGTTACAATCTTTAAAATATCAGCATTAGCAGCATTATTTATCTTGTTTTGGTAATTTTCAGTATTACATATATTTTTATTATATTAAATATTACGTAGAAAGTCGTGAAAAGGTTTTAAATTTATTAAAATGGGAAAATTGTCACGACTCACAACACGACATTCAGTGTTGCCAATTCGATATTTTATTTTCGTCCCAAATCACATAGAATGTTGTATTAACTAGAGTAAATGTTTAATATAAAATTAGGGTTGATTATGATATTAATATAATTAAAAAACTATTTCAATGAATACGGTGCTCTGTGAACGGAATACAACGTTTATGATGCTCTGTGATTTGTTTAAAGTAAATAAATTTATTTGTTTAAAGTTTTTACAATTATGTACAAATTTAAAAAGATGTGCCCATATCATTTTAAATTTATATGGATACCTACGTACTTATCTAGGTATCTATAGCAGAAAAGAAAATTTAATTTGTAGGTTAGATTAATATTATTAATGATTATAAATAGTTTGTATAAAATATGCTTTTATATTCAAAATTATTAACCTTATTTTTTCATTAGAATAGAATAGACTTTCTTTATTTTATTTTATTAAATGTCTATTAATAAAATTAAAATAAAAGAACAAGTGAACGCTGCAGTATATTTTGTAATTTTTGAACGCAATAAAAATTGTTTCAAATCAACCAACTAGTGTAACAACCCAATAAATTAAAATGTATCCCTCTAAAGGTATAAGCTATCTAATGTACTGACTTTTTAAATTGGTCGGATTAACAATATTCCGCTGCAACTTCATAGTAGTGTTTTATCGATAGAAATGATTTATGTTGCGGTCATTCGACCTTACTTGATCGCATTTTTTAAATTGAAATGATTTCATATTGCATCACAACTTCAACAGAAACAATTTCATATCGTGTTACATAATTAGCCCACTGATGGTGACAGATTATCATGTGACGCTTGTGATATAATGCTTTCGTTTCCATTCTGGAAGACTAGGATGTCTTGTCTCCGAAGCATGTAGGTAATATCACTGCATTATCTCATACAAGTTTAAATCTACTTGGCAGATAAAGTACGTTAGACCGAGGCAAGGGTCCGAAAAATAAAACAGTGAGGTACCTAACCTCTCTGTTTTATTTTTCAGACTACTCTAAAGGCCAGCAGCGGCCGTGTTGGCCGACAGTTTCAGCGGATGATGGGGGCGAGTGCTAATGGCACTCCAAATCCGTGGAAGAACTTATGGAGCGGCTGAGTGCCAACTCCCGCCTGACAGATACGATTAGTCTGAGGCTTAGACTGTCGTAATTTCGATCCCCGTTTAAATTGGACATGAGATCCTTAAGGGGTCAGGCCTCGCCGTTGTCTATAGTACGGGTTATGTATTGTAACGGGATGTGTTTATAAAAATATTTTAATTGTATTTAAATAATTAGGTCTGTACGTACACTGTTCGGTGAAGATGAGGCGTGTTATATCATGGACGCAAAGGTTCAAGGCAACATTGGCAGATATCTCAATGTGAGTATTTTATTATCTATCTGTACCTTAACTTCTTACGAAGGATAGTCTGCAAAATGTAGTCCATTATACTTTAACTGCTGCGAAGTGCATATTCTTCCTTTAATGTAAAAAAAAATCGAGTCACAGCGTTAAAAAAAATATCCTGAAATAGTTACACCGATTCTTATGATTTTTTTGTGTATATTCAGTAGGTCTGAGAATGGAACGTAAACTATTTCTCATACCCCAATTCATAAGTTCTAAGATTGTCCACCCCAAAAATATTTGTTTTATTTTTTATGATTGATCATGAAAAAAAATTTATACAACCCAAAATGTTCACCCATCTACCATCAAACCCCTGTTTTTAAACCGCGATATTAGTACTCCAATTTATATAGCAATACGAAGTTTGCCGGGTCAGCTAAATAGCTCTAGTCTAAATAGACTACATATATATTTTTTTTGCAGCACTCCTGCACCCCCAATGTGTTTGTCCAAAATGTATTCGTGGACACGCACGATCCTCGGTTCCCGTGGGTTGCGTTCTTCGCTCTCTCCCACATCCGCGCAGGCACCGAGCTCACCTGGAACTACAACTACGACGTGGGTTCGGTTCCCGGGAAGGTGCTCTATTGTTACTGCGGGGCGCCCAACTGTAGAGGACGATTGTTATAAATTAAATGTCCGTATGTGTTAATCAGAGATAGGAATTTAGATATTGCCCGCCAATTATATTTTTATCCGCTGCCTATTATGAATAATTTTGACTGCTAGAATACAATCTATTCGTACTTTATTTTGAAATAGCTTGACGATGTTTCTCGTTTTAAATAGATTTGAGTTATTAGTACGGTTTACAACACACTTTCAAATGCTTTACAAACACTTAAAACATAGCGTAATATTTTATAAGCTAACTCGAAATATTTGTTTACTTAATTTTCTTATTAATATAAGTACCGAATTTATAAAATGTATAATTTTAAGTATTGAACTGAAGAACTACCATTTCTCATATATGGGAATGTTAATAAGTTATTACTACCAATATCTGTAAGTAGTTAATCGCCAAAAATCTTTACTATAATTTGAAAATGGTCGCAAAATAATGAGGATTGATAACTGTTTTAATTGTAGAAACCCTCAAAAGCCGAACGAAAGTGTGTTACAGAAACTTCAAACGGCAACAAGCCTATTTTAGGCTGCTGATATTCGAGTCACAGTGTTAAAAAAAATAACCTGAAACAGTTACACAATCAGTGAGTTATAAGGTTGCCTAAATGCAACTAACGTTCCGGCGGACGTTCTTAGGGAAATTGATGGCATGACAGCTATACATACGTGGTATATACGTATATATGGTATACCTGACGGCTATTATGTGTATCACACGAGATATAGGACAGAGAATTAGGGAATTTGGCCTACAGTTGGGGTATATAATCCAATGCACATAAATAATATGTTGCCTTTGAATCTTCTTGTCCATGATTGCATTTTTATACTTCGTTAAATAGTGTAATAGTTATAGAAATATTTTAAATTTCATATCGTGTTTCCATCAAGCTGTTATTGTATTTATGTCTTTATACTGATTGTATTTATGATACGTATATGTATAATACATTTTAAAAGTCGATAAGTGAACTATATTCTCGTCCGTAAATAAAAATAATTTAGTTTTTTTTAGAAACGATTATGTTCAATCTTTATAGCTTTTGATTACGGAAATATAGTCTATTGACCCGAACAATTTAAATTAATTCAGTTTTATTAAATCTGTATAGCAAGTAAGTGAAGTTAAGATCAAGGCGTACGCGTCCATCTGATACGAAGACGATTGAAGACTGCATTTGAGCACCTTTATGCACTAGTTGTCTGTGCAATGACTGGATATATAGTGTATAGTTTGAAATATGTAAATACAGTACTAGTGAGTAAATAAATATGGATAAATAAGTTTTTTTTGTGTACCATAAATCAAATTTACTAATATATGTATAAGAGTAGCTGCAAATAAGAATATTTTTTAAAAATTAAGACACTGTCTTGAATTACTTGCTTGAAGTAATTTATTAGCTATCACCTGTTACTTATGAACGTGAACATATTTTTATAAGTAACCCTAACGCCCAGTCTGACTGTGAGTATAATAATAATAATGTAAAAGGTCACTCTTGATGTATATCAAAATTAAAAATAAAATCCATATTTTATGAAGAAGAATATGTTTATTATATCATAGTTTACATAGTACGAATAGTATTTAATGTACTAATGTTACAAATATTAATTTTAATTATACAATAGCAATAGTCTTACTGAGCAAGTAATCACTAAATTTCTAGTAATACATTTGGTCTTGATGACATTAAATCAAGAGATTGTACATCATATAAAATTGCTTCTTATTGTAGTCAATAATGTAGGTAGTCCATATTGGTTTTTTTATCTTTTTACCTAAATAAATCTTAGAGATTTTTAATCTAAATAATATATAAAAACTACGAAGTACCTAAACAACTATTTTCCGCGTATTCATATATAACTTCGTGAGTATTAGGTCGAGTCTGTTACATTAGTATACATAGTCATACACTACATTGTGTATCATTTTATAGGGTTGTCAATTCATTGTAATAAATATGTTTGTTTATGTTTTAAAATAAAATTAAAGAAATCAGTGATTTCAGATATAATACTATGTGGGATCAATTACTTATTAGGCATATATTACTATGCTAGAAGCTTAACATAACTTTACTGACTAATCCTGTATAAAAGACAATATAGTGATCATAGATCTAACACAGCTGGTGTCGTACGAGTTGTTACAACCAACAGCGTCTTGCGTCTTGCAACTTTGCAACCAACCAATTGGAGACGACTACCTAAATAAAAGGTGATATTTTTAGGAATACGCGTCACTTATTCGTAAGCGAGAACCTCAAAGTCCGGGCATGATGTAGGCGATGTTGTGGAGCGTGTCTTGGAGTAGACGCGGCGGAGGCGCGATCTCGGGAACTGCTCGTGCGACCCCAAGCAGTGGCGCCAGTGAACATAGCAACGTGTCCAACAGCACAGACACCGAGCCCGATACCGCGATCTGACCCTATATCAAATTATGAATGAATTCAATATAAAAAAAAACTAGGAAATAGGCTATTTAGGGATGATATAACACGCGGCCCGTTAAACATGTTTAAGCGACCCGCCAAGCATTTCTACAATTGAATTTATTTTTAATATATATTATCCTATCAATACCTATATTGATTTAAAATTACTTATAATATAATGGACTTTCATACTAAACCAAAACATTTTTTTGTGACTATGCTTCATGTTCAAACATGCAATAATTTTTTTTTAACGTTTGCATTAAAATTGGTATAAGAAATCTTTACTTTTTTTAATTTATATATATTTTTATAGTGTTTATTATTAATAGGGGCCGCCCATAATGTAATACACATTATGGGCGGCCCGCCAAAAAATGTTAAAATTTAAAGTGATGAAAAAGGTTGCCCATCGATGATCATATACTAAGATTATTGAACATCGCTCTCAACGCTAGTAATATATTCTACTATCAAATAGACCACCACACAATTCCTCCCAGAAACCATGTGTTATACATGGAGACTTTTCTATGATGGACTAATTCACTTCCCTGGAGAACTTTTTAAAGCGACTGTAAGTGAGTATAAACCTGTATGTGGGTACCTCTAGAAACTATGTTTAATTCCTAGTAAATTCGCATTGTTAGTCTGACTGGTCTAACTTTATGCACATACCCCACTAGCTTACAAACGTAAAAACATATCCACATGAAACCATCATGTTTAACATGTGATGAATTTGTGCGGATACTTGACAAATACAAACCTCGTGCTCCTTGAGCCGCTCCCCGATGATGGCGAGGCTCTCCCCGAGCAGTCTCAGGTGGGCGGCCACCTCTACAGCGCCGCACCCCGTCACGCGGTACATGCCGGCGCCGCCGGCTGCTCCAACAGCTGCAGCCGGCTGAAATAAACACCAACCATGTTCTAACATCTCTTTTATATTCCTTCATAAGTGGCCTAGGATAACTAAGAGCATCCTGGCTAGACTCTAGTAGGTCGTGAGTTTGAATCTAACCGACGCCGATAAACTGTTGTATCTGGTTGTATTTATGACTGATTCTTCACAATGACTCAAATTTAATCTGAGACGGTGTTAGATTCGTATCTGGCCAAGTTGGGTTCAAGTATTCTTTCATGTCAAAGCAAGGACAACAGGAAAGAAAATCATCATGGCATCCAGTAATGACAAAGTCCTGACTACCCCCATCTGGGATAACAGTCATTATGATAGTATTTTGTGCAATCAATTCTATTTGAACTACTTATATACAGATATATTGTCTTTTATTAACGAAATTTCACAACATTAAATTTGTCTAGTACCACAAAAAAGCTTAGTTTTAATTTTCAAACTGCATTTTTACTACTGGATAATTTTTATATTCAGCATTGACTACGTAACATATCCTTTGGTCAGTTAAACCACAGATAATATAATATTATATACAGATACCCCATCCCATACAAGAAAATGGTTCCTTCCTAACTCGGGCTATTCTTCGGGCTATTTTATTTCGCCGCCGTAGGCGCTAGATGTCGCTATATCTGAAGCAGTTTGGATTACTAGTGGGTGATTAGTAATAAAGCATGAAAATAGATGGCAGAGAATTCGGTCTACATGACATCTGTTTTGCAAAGATACGTACATAATAGATATATAACTGTATCGAATTCCTGATTGGGTACAATCGAAAATTCAATGTAGGTATAATATTGTTCTCTGACACTCTACAGACACGGCTAATGTACCTATGTATCTATGTACTATGTTACAGTTACTTTTTTCATACCTACTTTTTTTCTCCCGACGAAGATCTGTCGTAACGCGTCTGCACTAAAATCGGGCTATCGGTTAAGGAGCAATAGCTCCTTAACGAATAGCCCGATTTTAATACGGTTTTTTTTATTTAAATTGTTATGTGATAGTGATAGATTTTAGCTATAATCAATTGATGTGCATATGGGTACCTCATATAATTTTCAGTATATAATTATTTCTCAATATGTAGTTAATTATGGTAAACTGGCAATTTGTAAAACTGAAAATAATATCTGCAAACCATCAATCTGTTATATGTAGGTTCTTTCAGGGATACTACATCGGTGCTAATGACATGTAGGTACTTATTTTGATATACCTATTTGTAGAACCTTCGATATCTACAAACTACGCCTTTACTGCTAGTTTTTTGGTATTTATGTAAGTTGTTATTCAGTTGAAATTAAGCTGCGAAATTACAGGATATTTGGACATAACATCTATGTTCTCCGGAATGATAACGTATGCGGGATATAGCGGGCACGACATGATGACGTAATGCTGTTTAATAATATATGTGTATGTATGTACGTCGGATAGCGTCGTGGTTGGATGGATCGTCAGCTTATTTACCATTTCAGTTAATAATAGTAGGTAGTAACTTTTGACAATATGGATGAAGGAGGGTAACGGTGATGATGATGAGATCAATAATGACTGTTGACGATAGTGACGGTGGTATTTATTTATGACCACCATAAAATTCATCATTGGCAGCATTCTCAACATTATCATCATTGTTCATCATGATGATTGAGATCAAATTAATTAATTGATTAAAAAAGTAGCAAGTATTAGGTAGGTACTAAGTCCTTATATGACTTAAATACAAGGTTCTGGGATGCTGTGATATACTACAGTCTCCAGATTTAGTTTCTTATTAGTATTCCACGACTTAGACTTTGTCTATAGACAGAGAAATATAGATTTACACAAAGTTTCTTGATGTAAATGGGAATTATTATACACATTGCATTAAAAAATATACATATATGATTACCATCTAATACAAAATCATTATGTAGTAAATAATTCCTGACATTTTAAATCGAATGAGGTGAAACTAACATTGCATGAACACAACACTTGAAGATCATAACATTTTCATTTCAGGTAATAAAACACTTTTAAATAATTTATTAATCACAGAATAAACAATTGTTAATAATTTACAATAATATTTCTTTCACTGCTTGTCTGTTATACCACTAAAACTTCAAACACTTCTGTTATTTTTATATTATATTCCAAATAAATCAATATCAAGACATAATATTTCATCAAAATCATTTCATAATTAATTCCTGGTACACAAAATATTCCTGGATTTGTTGATGAAGCAATATAATAATAATCATGAGCTTAAATCATAAACTTATTTGCAGTCGGTTACACATAATATAATTACTTGAAATTTCTTCTCATCACTAGTCCGTTGCTTTCTTACTTATTTAATTATATTATTAATTGCATTGTGATTAATAATTTACAGATTTTTCTTCTGCTTTTTTCTCTTATTTTTACTTGCATTATTATTTTATACAGTAAAATGTTCATATATATATATATATATATATATATTTCTTATTCTTTTGAACTCCTGTTCTTTACAGTAAAAATGTTATTTATCTTCATCTGAATGACTAGGAGATTTAGAATATCATCTCTTATTTGTTTAAACTTTGTTCAGTATTAAGTTGTTGATGTCAGGAAAATCTGAAAACAATATCATATACCATGTTACATTTTCATGAACTTACATGAATGAATTTACATGAAAGTAACTAAACTGTAACCTTATTAGCACAATAAACATATTATTCATACATCATATTCATTCAGTTCTAATAAAAAAGTAATACTACTGTTTAGTACTTTATTTTGATTAATAATTTTCAGTATATTCTCAATCAATCAAAAATTATAAAATCAGTGTTAGTTTTTTGAAGTTACATTCATACCAATAATAAAAACATAATAATACCACATTAAAGCGGTCACCAAGTACCTATGTTTATTATATTTTAATATGAAAGATACACACGCATACATATGCAAGTTTTTAACAACTTATAGTTATACCTGGTATGAGATAATCCTCAAAGACACGATAGTTTACTAAATATTTGTAGTAGTCCTTAGACACATTTAAATTATTGAGTTTGACAAAAAAATAAGAAGTTCAATGAACTCTGAACAGGGACAATTCAAAAGTTGAAGTACCTACTTAACTTAAATGATGAAAAAAGAGAAAAAATCCAATGCTAGTGAAAATATGTTTTAAGCATTTGACTTAAAGTCGTTTATCCTATTCTTTTATTCCTATATTTTATATTTTTAACATTTCATTTATGTTGCCAGTACTCGTTGTCATTTCGATATAATAAAAAAATATGGACCAACCTACGATTTTAAATCGATATTTTTATTTGTGATGAAATCTAATAATATAAATTATTAATAACCTACCCTTGAATGGAGATATTAAAAAACTAATTATCATGAATAGTAGGTACTAGGATCAGTAATATATCATAGTATTATGAATGATTATCGTTTCAAAACCTTGTACAATTTAGTAAGGTTGAAAATATCCTTCTACAAAAGCAAAATTCGAGTATTTGTAAAGTTTCTTATGAGTATTTTTAAAAATTCGAGGATCCTCATATTTAGCTATCAATGTCAGTAATTTAGATACCATATAACACTTGTTTATTGAGGTTTCATAAAGGTATAGCTGACCTTATATACTCTATACCACATTCAATTCTCATTCATTAAATTACAATAAGTAGGTATTTATTTTTTTAATAGAAGAACAATGTCACTAATGTCATTAATTGCTATAATTACCAGGGTGACCGCGTGGAGGTTGATATAATAGAGTACACTTGGATCAGATCAATCTAATTAATATTTCCCTCTTCAAGTTTCGAAGTTATGAGCGAACAGATAAATATATAGTACTTGCATACCTGTCAAAATCTCTCTATTTTGCCGTCGTCAAGTAAAAATTATGCATTGCAATTCGTTCCAAATAAGAGTATAATACAAAATGATGAAATTTTACTGTTTGCAAAGACTAATTAAAAGTACCATCGAATAATGCGTTGTAATATCCTGTTATCGATTATTCGAAAAAATCGATAAATCTATGCATTTATTTTTAATATGGCAACACTTTCTAAATAAGTATTACTGGAATAATATGGTTTTCTTGTTTAGCTGTTTTATATTTACTTAAACTTTTTTTATGTTTAATTTATCATAATAATATAGTAAGTACTTATTATTTGAAAATATAAAATAAACATTTAAAATACGGTGATACAAATGAAAACAGCGCCATCTATGAAAGTATTTTGGAAACAATAAGCCCCAATTAGCAATGATTAAATTGTAAACAAATACAGGGCAACAACAAAATGAGTAAATATATGAAAATTACTTTTCAAAACGCATTATTTCATTTTAACATCTATATATGACTTTTTAAAAATAGATTAAACCTTTTTAAAAACATAGTTTTGGGTTTTAAACGATTACAAAACAATGTTGAATTCCATTCGATACCAATGACGCCATCTAAATCCGTTTTTCGAACTAAAAATGGCTACTATGCCATTGATCCCCACTGGTTAAACCCACTACCCACAATCCAATACTGTTGATGACACACCGCCTATTTGGCTAAGATATACTCACGACAAGGGCTTGTTGTGGTGGCGTGGTCGGCGACTGCTTTGGCTGGGCGCGGTTGGACGGCGGGCGACCGGGACCCTGGTTCGATGGCGGACGGACGCCTGATTGGTTTTGACATAAATTAAATTATTTAATAATAATAATACTTTATTTTCCAAATACATACTACGTACAATTTGTTGTTGTATATACTACATTTGGAATCGTCCGTACTCCTTGGAAATTGAAATTTTCGACTTTCTGAGAGGTGTGTAAAATTCAATACAATTTGTTTATTATATATCATTACTGTATCACGTCATCATACAAATAGTGGTTAATCAAATCAGTTTTTTTTATGATTATATTCTTCTTCCACTGAGGCTTTAATTGGAATTAAAATAATATTTATTCATATTAAATAAATTATAAAATAAATTTAATGTACACAAGTTGCATAAAATGTCTTACGTGAAAAAAATATTTTAAAATTGACTTATGATTTGTCATTTTTAATTTTTGCTATTTTGTGTAATTTAGGAAAATATTTCAATCTATAATCGGCAAAAACAGTCAGTTATTGTTTAATTTGTAGTGAATTAATAAAATAATGAAAACAGTTCACACAATCAAGAACTTAGATTGATGGAGAACGACAACATATTTATTTATATTATTATTATTTTTGAAATGCAAATTGTAATAGTTATATTTTTTTTTTTAATGCAGATTGTAATAGTTACATCAATATTCGTAATAAGCTCAACAGCCCAAATGAGAGCTAATTGCGAAGAATAGAGTCCACATTACATTATATTCGGTATACTCACTGGGGTTGGATATTATTTTGCTGGTTTGGTTGCCTTGCTGTTCTTTTTGTATCGCGAATCGTTTCGCCTTGCGACGCCACAGATAACGCTCACTGTATGTCACCTGTACAATGAAAGGATTTCCTTAAACACAGTTTAAACCTTTTTTTACAGATGTACACTACTTATATATGGATTATATATTTCATTTATTATTTAAGTAATTGAATGATCAATAATAATAAGTGAATATAAAGAATAAGTATAATTGTTTAAAATATCTTTGTTAATACTGACATTAGCCCACATTTCTCCTAATCTTTTAGATATAGCAGAGAAATCCATATCAGGATGCTTGCGTAGTAGTTCATTACGTGTTTCCTTCGCCCACATCATGTATGCAGTGATGCGAGTTTTTCCTGCAAATAAAATTTACTTGAGAATGTTTTCAAAAAATAAAATGTGTTTCTTTACTTTTAAATTTTATTGAGTCTTTAGTACATCTAGATTATGTTAATCCCATGTGTAAATTTATATGTTATATATGTTGACAGCTTCAGTGGTTTAGTGGTTTAGCACACTGATTTACTTCCAATGTTCTAGGGTTCTGATTTTCCTATGATTTGATATGACAGTGCAACCATTTGTATTCATAGTATGATTGTTTTTATCATTTTAGGTGTCTGTAGCATGTTAAATTAAAAAAATGAAGTACTAGTACCCATAACACAAGCATTGCTTAGCTTGGCACTAAATGGCCGTGTGTGAATTGTCCAGGGTTATTATTAATATTATTATTGTATCTAAAGTTTGTCACATTAAATATATTTGAGTTTATTCATAAAAATAAACAAACCAACAATAAATTAAACTTTTCTCTTTGTAATATTAGTATAGATTATAATTTCATGGCACCTTTGTCCTTCCGTTGAGCCTTTGCTCTGCCGACCACCCTGCCATCCTTCACAATCAGTTTTTTCTTGGTACTTTTCTCCATCATGTACAAAGAATTGGCAGGAGTACGAGTGGATCCTTCTTCAGATGCTGAACTATCTGATTCCATACTAAAAATCAACACAATTAATATTCTAACAAAGGATTAATCTTGACTCACTCATTTTAAAGACATAAAAACAAAATAAGGATGTCACATCATAATTCATGTTACATCCTTAAATAACATGATGATGATGGAATGGTATTCCAGCCTATGTTAATTGTATTCAATGAGAAACCAGAGGATGATAAACTTAAGTTAAATTCACTCAATTGTAATGGCAACTACATGAAAAGTGATTTAACATATAATGTTTATGGTATTGTTTTTACAATTAATTCATATTCTGGAGAACTAAGATATATCGCCTCCATACTCTCTTAATTTATTAACAGACTAGGTGTAAAGGAAAATCTATATATATAAATGAATGCCTATTTCTTTTGGTCACAGCATAACATGTGAATGACTGGATAAATTTTGCTAATTCTATTATATTGTAATTGTTATTATAAGGTTTATATGAGGAAAAATTAAGAAGGTTGCATGGGATATTGGAAAGGTTAATACAGTATGTCTGTGGGGTCAGCTAGTGATTGATATAGGAGGGTAGGGGATAGTTATTAATGTGTACTAATAACCCCATTGCGAGCAATGTACCATCTCAGGTTGACCTCCACATGGATCTCCCTGGATACCATCATAATAAATTAGTGGTGAATTTACTATGCAGGATTATGGATCTTGGATACCATCATAATTATGCATAAGAAAAAAAAAGTAATTGATCAATATTACAGAATACCATTGTGGCTTCAGGTAGGGAATGGATTATTTTGCAATTCTAACCTATCAGCATTCTCTCCATTGTTTTCATAGTAATCACTTTCGCTTCCCGACGCGGTGCCAGTGTCCTCTGCTGGTTTCGGTGGAACAGAAGGTTCGGGTTGAAACTGCGGTGTCTCCTCCTGTCTCAACGCCATAAAAGACTTCACAGGCGTCTGTCTCCGGTATCTGGACTCAATGTCGTCGGGTGACTCGAAGTCCATCAACTTTGAACTCTTTTTTCTAACGCGCCCGCTGCGCGATATCCCCGTGACTTCTAAATCTAAAAGTTTAAGAAATATCAAAACAATGGAAAGTTGCATCGCGTCGAATAATATAATTAACGGTTTTGAACTTGCCTTCTTGCATGTTGTGATCTAGTATTATTGAATGTAGTAACGAATTTTTTTTATTGACGGGTTTTAATTCCTTAGTCAAATATGTCTCCACTAAAAACTTAACTGCAATTTATTTGGTTCAGTCACAGAACACTAATAAACTTTCAATGCAAATATACAAAGATATTTTTATCACAAATCGATAATAAATTTTTCGGGATTTTTTCCTATTACAAATCAGACAAGACTTATCCACAGATCAATCAGACACCAATGTCAATGTCAGTGTTAGGAATTGTATTTACGGCTCTGGGTAACAGGCATTAACGCCAAATTTAAATAATGTTATAGTACACGTGCAATTACTAAATTATTGAAAAATAATTTCGTAATAAAACGAAAAATGCCAAGATGTATGAAGATATAAAAACTGTCAGACGCTATCTTTTATAAACACTATTGCTCTCCTTTGGCTATATTCAAAATTATCAGAATAACTCATAATATCTTTATGACAGTATTATTATACCTTCATTGTTATAATATCAGATAAGAAAGTTAGGCATATTGTTAACTATCGATGATCTGGTGGATACGTTTTTTTATATATGTTACTGGAATGGTGCACCCTCCTGCGCTAATGGTTCACGCTGGTAGAGCACCAGTGGATGATAAGATAAGCATGAGGTTTGGTAAGTTTGCGCATCGTATCAAATTCGCCAAGAATTTATCCAGGGGGAACCGCGTGGAGGTCAACCTAACATAATACATTGTTAGCAAAAAGAAAAATTCACAGTACCATCCTCCCTCCCCCTGGTTGATACATTTGAAAGTAATGTCGTAAACTCGTAAAGAAACACTACTTCTACTGCTGTACTTCAGAATTCATTTTCTTTTCATTACCTAGCTAATGAACTTCAACTATTATGTACTCTCCTTTTTAATTTTGTAATGTTGTGGTTGTACAAATAAAGCATTATTATTATTATTTGTTTGTCAGCGATGGCATTGTGCCATGGCATACCGTCGGGACAATGCCAAGCCTCCACCGTTACAAACTGCATCCGTAGCAACACTATAAATTAATTGCATTTTAAGATATGGACGCATGTAGTTTAAAGATTTATGTGAAAAAAAAGTCGGGGCTTTTTGTAATTTAGTGAAAAATTACAAAAAGAATTCCGAGTAGGACAAATAATTGTAAATATTTCCGCACATGCCAGGCAGTTGGCGGAAGAATGTTGTCTGAAGATGAGACAGCTTTCACCCTGCAGGACAGCGTGTGGAAAACCATGGGTCAATATTTGTCACTCTATTTAATCATAAATATATTTTTTCTGCTGTAGCCGGATACATTTTCAAATCTTAGGTAGGTTATCATGTGTTAAATGTGGATAGCAAACAATAAAACAATTCATAAACAACATCTATTTACATTTATAAACTATTCTAACGTTTGACGTCATTAAATAGTGGATTATGTATATCAGCCATGCTGTGCACCCAATAATCACACATTTGTAACTGACACATTAAAATATTTACTAATATTATATATATACAGTAAGAAATTCACAAACAATAGTTTTCCCTATACAGTTAATGCATCAAAACGTTTTTCCATGTTGACATTATCCTAAACCAAAAATGTTAACTACAACATAATGGTAGGTATGAATTCACAGTTCGATCTTGATATCTTCGATTATGCAATTGTTTGATATTTTTCGTATACAGCGGCAAAACAAACAATTTTATTTTGCTTTTATTTTTGTAATCTAAAAAGATTACAAAAATAAAAGCCGCTTTTGTATTTTCATTTTTGATTGGGGTAATCTGAATATAAATTATTGTGAGATTGATTATTTATTGTTGTCATCATAAATAGAAAATATGTATTCTAAAGATTATATTGTAAAAAAACGGTTACTACATACTATGCAGACGAACAGCATACAATTTACGCCTCGGATTTTAGTAAAAAGGTAAAGACATGTTGTTGAATAATAACATGGTAGCAAAATTAATAGCTATGTAGCTTTCGTAATATTTTTACAATTTCTTTTACTAAGTTTTTTTAAAAGGTTCTTTTACTCCACACTGTACAATCTGAACAATTACATAATCATAAAGATATAAAATATTCATTAATTTCTGCTACTATTTAGAGATAAATTAAGTTATTCCTTGCAATTTTATTTATTACTGGCATGCAAACAAATCACTTACTTAAAAAATAATGAACCATAAAATGTTCAAATCAATAAGCCATAAATTTTTAAGTTCTGTACCCTGAATTAAAATATAAATTAAGAATGTATCAGTCATTACTTTCCCGAGTAAATTACTAAATATATATTACAAAATTAAAAGAATATGGGTATAAAAATCATTACAACTTTGTAATAAGGTAAGGCGAGTAGTAACAATATAGGTACAACAAAAGTTAGACGTTTTGAATCTTATTAAATATGTTATTTACATATAAAATCACATTTATTAACTGGCCCTTTAGATTACAATCATGAAGCCTATTTTATAAAGGCGAAATAAATAATTTATCGCTATTTTCAAAATATTATAAGTAAATGATTTAACTTGCCATATAAAAAAATAACAGGGACACAATGGAATTTCCGTAATCAACTGACCCTGCCTATAATATTTCCGAATATGATAGCAATACAAATTATAACTCCAACTCCGGTTAAAATTTGATTCGGGTCTACTGCTATTCTCTTCTTGGTGTCATCTTTGTCCTTATCTGCCTCATCTAAATCTTGGTGGACCACAGACAAAGCTTTAGCTAGTTCAGCATCAGATTTAGCACTGGACTGTGATGCGGTGACTATCAATCGTTTTATATCACGCATTTGGGTTTCAATAACGCGCTCCTGTCGGTGTACATGTTCTGAAAATTGTTGTAAAAATACATACAATTACAATAATAATGATAAAAAATATAATAAGTAGTTTTAATTTCGAACTATTCTTATAGCTGTTTTGTCATATCTGGCCTTTACAGCTTCACTGGACGAAATTAACTAGTTTATACGAGTATATATAGGGGTATTATATGCAGGTAAAATATATGTATTAGGCTTACAATGTCATGTTCAGAAAACAAAACCAAATTTTTTAGATAAGAAATACAATTAATTCTAGTTAGAAGCGCCAGATACAAATTCAATGACGAAGTTTCATACAAATTCAATGACACAACACATACATGTGTATAATTCAGTAGTTACGAGTTCACTAGTAATTACCGCTAACAATACAAAATATTACACTAATTAAATTCAAGCAGCATGCTTGTTAAATAGATGCTCTAGTAGTGTACACTGTAATTTTAAGAACATAGAATCGGGTAAATATGTCATAGCTCAAAATCTCGCATCTCCAATAAATATAATTATGTATAAAAAAATTAACACTAAAATTTATACTGAAATAATATATTTTGCCCTCAAATTAACTCTGACGAGATGACTATAGAGACACACGCTTAGGCGAGATCCTAAATAACCATAAATTTTGATTATAAGTATAGATACTTACCGATCAAGGAAGTCTGCTTGTTGACTAGATTGTCTATATTTTCTTGCATAACTTTAAGATTTTCTGCAAGTTGATCCTACAAAATTAAAGTTGCTATTTTAAATGAAACATAATAAATAAGGAAACCATAAATTTGATATTAAATTACATTTTACAATAAAAGAGAATAAAATGACACAAAAGGGTCCCTCCTTGTTGTAAATTATTGGTTGTAAAATTAAAAACATGATATGAGTATTTGGAAATGTATGATTATGATAACCTTCCATGTCTTAGATACGTCTCATTTGTAGTCCTCAGAAAAATTTATAGAATTAGATGTTGTTTTGCAGAAGTCCATTTTACTTCTTAATGGATTTATATTATTTTGTTTAACTCTGCTATAATTTGCAAACTTGAAACCAGAAATATTCACTGTGTAAACTTACTACCATTACAATCTTCTAATGGTAGTCAATTTGAATGCCTGTGGTCTCACACATGTTAATTGTATGTTAGTGGTCCTAAGAAATGTAATTTATATATACCTGATAAGCAAACTCCGTCTTCATAGCGTCAGCTATGTCAGCTCTACTGGCTGTGCTGCCACTGCCACCAGCTATCGTGTACAGCACGCTGGCGCTACGGGCCATCTGCTGCTCCATCATGTCACGGAACTCCGCCATTTTCAAGTGGTTGTTGATTGTTGACCCTGCTATACCCAACACTGTGCCTATTGGAAGTCAATCTAATATAAATACGCGAGTTTAACGAAAAGGGTACATTGATTACACATAATTTAAGAGGAAATAGCAAGAAATTCAATGTGTACATTATTTATACTATTATTTACTTAAGAATTTCTGCACTGTACATTTGTAGAGCCCATTTGTAGATCAGAATGGTTTTGTCCTACTAAACTATATTAATTGACACTTCCTTATTTTGTTTATTACTTATGCTGAAAAGTTGCATAGATCAGTTACTTAATATATATAGATTACTGTACATTTTTATTAAACTTACCAAATATGGATGCGACTATATACCAATACTTGTTCCGCTCGGCATGCGCCCTCTCCCTCTCGTGGCCCAGTTTGACGGCGGCGGACATAGTGGCGAATAATTCACGCTCCTCACGTTCCGCATCAGAAAATTGAGTACGAAGGGCTCTCTCTTGGATAATTAACTGTAAAGGAAGCATATGTATGTTAGAAAATGCAAGTAAAATATTATTCACTAGTTGTGACTTCATGGCAAGTACATTTCTGTAATGCATCCCTTGTTGTAATCAGATGACAACAATAAATAAAGCATTTATACCAGTTAGTTAGTGCCATCTCCTAATTTATTGAATTAATTATTAAAATAATTAATAATTTTCAATATAGTTTATTATTATTAATATTTTTTTAATATAGTACATTTTAGCCACATGAAAATCAAGTATTTTTTTCCCCACCATCCAATTACACATTACATAGTTCACAAAAACAATTTACTTCTTTCTTTTTCTTTTGGTATGTTTTCATGTACATATTAAATATAGCTTAAATTTCATTGTACTTCTTCCAGCCATTTTTATATGTAACCTTAATAGTTTTGGACTTGTCATAGTTATACAAGGTTTATTATATGTAAAGAAGTTAAACCTGGATTTGAAAGGATGTGACTCATTATAGGTACTGATTTATTTTAGCCATTTAAAACATTTATAATGCTTAGAGCTTTGTATGACAAATATTTAAAGATGTAATTCTTGTTAAGGCCAAAAGCATTTATTCATATAAGATATTCTTACCCACTTACAAATCTGTATATCCTAATACAGTCATGAGTATACACATATGTTCCTTGTCACAATAAGTATTTACTGGCAATAATTAAAAATGGTTAGAGTCCTTAAAAAATATTACTGTGACAAAGTACAATGTTTTTTAAAAATATATATATTCAAATAACCTTGTGTTCCTCAGTGCACAGATGTAAGTACTTATCATCACCTTTCATTGTATTCTGCATTTCAGCGTGGAGTTCCTTCAAGCGCCCTTCAATATTTGCTAACTCGCGGCCCAGTTCTCGTCTCCGTTCCTGTGCTGTCATGAACCGTTCCTTAAAACAGAAATTATTCTTATGAATCAGACATGCCTCAAAGAGAAAGAGAGGGGATGGAAGTCACTTCTATGTCCTACTGAATACTATGACTGCTGTAATAATTATAATCTATCTGCTACTAATATTATTATAATATTGAGCAATAAAAAATACATCACTAATTAAACTAACCTTAATAATAAACTTTTAAATTAAAAAAATTCCCTTCTGTAATTATGTAAGTATCACTGAGATTTTTTAGATTCATTTATCTGATTACCTGTGTATTTACAAGTGAAGTTTTAAAAAATTTAACATTTTAACTTTTGAGATTACATATAGTGAGTTGAAGTGAGTTGCTACATTTGTGTACAGATACATTCTCCAGAGGCAGCTACAATTACTTACACAGTGGACCACATTAATGTATGTTACGGTGTTACAATTATATTGTAATCATAATCTGATGAAAGCTAATAGGCTGCTCACAGACAGACAGAGAAATAAAAACAAGGAATGTTTTTGAAATTAATAATAATTGAACTAAAAAAATATCATTAATTCTATTAGTATAGGAATATGCACTATATTTCAATATACAGTCACTGCGTCCAGACATAGTAGTACCATAGTTAATATTGCTATAAATATATGTATATATATTATCACTTAAAAGGTCAAGATAAGAGGACATGAATAGTTACAAATGTTTTACGCAATTATGTATTAAAATGTCTAATGCAACATGTAAATGTTAATAATCGTAAATATTGAAGTGGTCAAAATATACCCGTTTCTGGACATTATATCAAATGCTACAAAAAAATGACTTACAGTTCAATGTTACGTAGTAATTACCTGTGCTTCGACAACTGTATTTTGTAAAGCCATTATCTCTTCAACCCCCGTGAATTTTTCATACTTTGACACCAATTCCTGAACCCTTTTTGTGATAGCTTCATGTTTAAACTTCTCTGCGATCTCCGTGACTTTAGAACCCGGGGTGTACCTAGTTATTAGATCGTCCACTTTTTCCCTGCTGTTAATTTTTATTTGTGTCACATGGACTTTATCCTTTAAACGTTGGGCAATTTGTCGGAGGCGGTCTGCCATTATCACATATTATTGTTTTGATTAAAGTATTAAAATTAACATTTTTTTGTTGAGGAATGATATCACTATTCTCTTTATGGTAGATGGACAGTAAGCACCACAGAGTAGAAGGCACCACAGAACGGTCAGTTATGATTACGAAAATAAACGATGCCATCTATATTAAGAATCTACAAACAAAAACCATAGTACTTGAAGTGTCGATATATGTCGTCATTTTTCTTTGGCATTTCTCGTCACTGTAATTTACTCTTAGCGGTAATAAATTTTTTATATATTTTTTTGGCTATTAATAAAGATAATTTTTTTTTTTATTTATGACGGAAAATTGTAAATCGCCTATCTCTCGAGACAAAACTTTCATTGGTATGTTTCGGAAGGTAGTTGTGAGATTTTAAAATTCTAATCAAATTAATAAATCTTTGTAAAATTAATAAATGTACTAAACATTGATTATTAAATGTTAGTTGTCAGATTTGAATTTCAGAGGGCGCTGTAATAAAATATTTGACAAAATAAAAATTCTCGGTTCGGTACTCATTCATAGATGTACATTGACAGATAGATGATAAATTTACTGTCAAAAATGGAAGTAACAAATTTCTCAAAATGACATTAACACTTGACTCCTGACTGAGGCGGGATTACTGTTTATAAAACCGTCGTCACGGTATGAAACTGTTTAGCCAAATTTAATATTATTTTATATTTTTTCTTTTCCTTGCTTTTGTAAATATTAAGTTCAAACTAAGAGAGGCTATTAACCTAATATTATGGGAAACATATCAAAAAAAATCTTACATATTAAGAAATAAATATCTACACATGCTTCAAATAACAGAACATACATTAGGGTATGGGGGCGAAGGGGATTGTTAGCAATGGGAACTGGTAACTCCCATTGCTAGCAATGTACCATGTTAGGTCGACCTCCACGTGGTTCTCCCTGGAAACCATCGTGATGAATTCTTGGTAAATTTGTCACGATGGGCTAACTGACCTGACCTCATGCTCATCTTATCATCCTCCACTGGTGCCCCGCCAGCGTAAACCGTTAGCGCAGGTGGGTGCACCATTCCATTATCATACACAAAAAAAAAAAAAACATTAGGGTATGTTTCAGGCATATTAAATATTTCAATTGCTATTAATATTATTGATGCGGTTACATACGTTCAGGTTGGCTGGCAGCTTGTTTGTAGCTTCAATTACATCACAGATAATATAAATTAAAAAAATATTATATGGATTTAATAAGTAGGCAGTCAAAAGCATTATCTACCCTAGAACTGTAATATTATGTTATGTGTGCTAGAACTAAATTATTTAGAAATTGGCTGCTATCTGCGACTTCGTCTACGCAGGATGCGTACTTTGAGTAGCTTATTTTCTTCTCAAAGGACCTATCCATTTTTATACCAAAGTTAGTCAAAATTGGTTCTGCGGTTTAGTTGTGAAGGCGTAACAGACGCAAGCCAGAATAGCTCTCACAATTTTTTCTACTTGTATTTATATTTTGCACAATTCACACAATATCTTTATACACAATATCATAGCCTTTTTATTATCCTGATATATAAGATACTACATTATTGTAAAATTTTTATTAAAATATTTTTCATAGAGTTTTTCGAGGAAGAGTAACAACAAACTTCCATGACGGCCTCAGTGGTCTAGCGGTTTAGCACACCGCTTTACTTCCGATGGTCGCGGGTTCGATTCCTCGCACGGTTCAAACATTTGTATTCATGAGTGTGGTTGTTTTTATCGATCTGGGTGTTTTATATATCTAAGTATTATATTTATTCCATCAAAACCACACACATATACTGTGAACCTTTCCAGTAGACGCTCTCAAGTAGGTATATACCAACCTCTGTAAAAAATTACACTACTCTAGAGCAGGTACAGGTAATAAAAGAATGTTTTTTGCCCGTATGTCACTAATATGGTGCCTTTGTTGCGACTGTCACGCATAACAAAAACAATAAAAAATACTCTAAAAGCTACCTACAAAAAATGTCTCCTCTGCAAATTTCTTTAGCCAATGTGCTTGGGCCAGTTAACACATGGAAAACCCAAGGACTATATCCCCTCCCCGTATGTGTGATTGTTAGTCATTTTTAGATTTGAGCGGCCATTGCCGCAGTCGTGGGGTCGCGTTGACGTTCTGACAATTCCGGCGGGGTTGGTTATAGTTACATATCTCAACCTACCTAATTAGATATAATATATAGGTACTATTTGATAACATGTCGACATGATGCCTACGGCTACTTTTTACCATCGTTCCGCTTGCCATTGACATGGAATTCATCGTCACAACCTAGAGCCTAAATGGTCTCGGATAATGCTGTTTCAGAGGGTTTTCCTGCCTACACTTAGATTGTGGAACTAACTACCTACTAAAAGTATTTTTTCACATTACAAAAAGGTATCTATATCTACAAAATGTTATGTTATCTGTGCCTACAAGTTAGTCGTTAAGCGTATATTAAATCAAAATCCTATAGAATATATGAATATTAAAAAAATCATTAGGGAATAAAATAGAAATCCGATAAACAATTAATTTTTAGTTTGTACGAAGTTTTAATTTCTTTTTAATTTTCTGCACTGTTTCTTTGTGATAGTGTGCATGCATGTGCTCTGTTAATACAGACGGTTGAATAAAATCTATTAGATAATACTGGTAAAATAAAGTCCACTAAGGAGCAGGACATTGTCGATTATACGAGTATACGGACCAAGACATTGAGGGTGACGCATCTGGCTTCGAGTCACAACACGAGTTTCAAGGCGTTTGTAGCCCGGGTTATCACCAACATGCTCCCCAATTTCATGAAAGAGACTTCTGGCTTCTGTATCGGCGCTACGGTGTCAAATTACCGTCGTTAGTGCCGTGACCACACAGGCAATTTCAATATATCATATTAATTTTATAATATTACTTCATATGTATAACAAAAAACCTACTAATGCTTGAAGTGCTTGGTATTCTATGTATGTTGCAATTTCCGTAGCCAGGAGAGTTATTTCTCGGGCTCAGTAACTATTCTAGCATAACTGTCACCCTTCAAACTGGAACCAGCTAGCAACCTGTTTCGCGGTAGAAACGTGTTAGATGGTCATAATCCTGTCTATAAGCATTTCCATCCATCAGGACGTCAGGTACTTATAATTATGAAGGACAATAAAATTCAATTATCCTTCAGATTGCGCTAACGCTATAAGCTATCAGTGAAAGGAGGTAAAATGTGAATTAAGGCAGGTAAAATCAGTCCGTGGCGAATTTACCACGAATATACCGTTATAATTGACGGGGAGGACTCACTCACTAAAAATCCCAACTCTCTGGTAATATTATAATAGTTTAATACCTAGATGTAAACAATTGATGTGACCATTATTGTTTATTACCGTAAATTATTTGCATTTAGCAGGTAATTATTTCTAATGCACTTAACAATTAACTAATTAACACTGAAACCGACCTTTCTAACCGGAATATTAAAAAATGCTGTAGTTACTTAGTCTAACGTACGGCCCTACGGTCAAGGAATGTCGTGTAGTTAATAATTAATCGGTTAAAGACTAGACTGGCAGATGAATGCTTCTTATTCATTTCGCAACTAAACGTGCGCGCCAGTAAGACGCGCTAACGCGCGGGTTTCAAACTTCGAACGTTTACGAATTAAAAAAAATTATCAGTTTCGTCGAGAAACACGAGTGCAGTTTTAAAACTTATTTCTTCCGTAAAGTTACGTGCTCTTATTTATGTATCTTAAATATAAAATAAAATATTTTTATTTAAAAGTATCTCTGAGTAATAACTTCGGGTCTTGTGCAGTTTTTTTTATATATTAGGTAAAGGTTCCTTTGTTAATTTTATATAAGTAATTAGGTAAGTTTATTTTTATCACATGCTTTTATTTAGATTCCTATGTATTTAAATATTAGCTACTTAATATTATAATATTTATATAAGAAAAATTAACACGTTATGACAACTGAAATTAAACATGAATTAAAAGTGACATTTTGTTTGACCAAATAGACAAACAGTAAACTCTTGAAAAATAAATATATATATATATATGTACCTAATATAAAAATAAATATAATATAAAAATATACCTAATTTAATAGTTAACCTAAGTAAAAAATCATGGAATTTTTATGTAATTTTCACAACTTAACATTTTAGAGGTTGTGTTAATTATTTGTCACGTATTTCGACGTATACATACATATATATTATATATTCCTATTATATTCTGGGTGAACTTACTATACTGTGAACCTACTACTAAGTTTATATTTGATGTACTCTTCATTTTAAAAAGAAAAATTGCATATTTAACAGAGTATATATTATACGTAATATCTAATTAGTCCAATATAAATAATAGCATTTTCTTTACAAACGAGATGGTGGATGGATAACTCGAAATCATCACTTTGCGGATTACGTTCAAAATTGCTATACAAATTATTATAATTATCATTTTCTATAAGGAATTAATGAATTTATCTCCTAAGTTAGTTAGTTGTGTCACTTACATAATTACTGAGATTTAAGTGTAAGTATAAAATGTTCAGTAGCCAATGTAAAAAATAGCGCATTCTTCACATTTTCATTTCCACCGTCAACGTCCTGAAACACGTGTATTTTTATTTTATACCAACAGTCTGTTTAGACCACACATAAGAAAATATTATATTTCTGATATATCTAAATAATTATAGGTATCCAAAATATAGCTATATAATTCTGTTATTTCGAAAGTTAAAACTGATATCCACGTCATATCTGATTACAATAATTTTGAAAAATACTGAAATACTTGTCTCTTTTTATATTGTCTTTATTTATTAACATAATCTATATTCTATATAAAGGAAATTAATAAAACGGTTTTAGCTCTCTGCTCATTTATCAGGACACTTATAACGATAGCGTGTAATGTTATTTCGCCATAAATTTTTCGTCAATAGGTGTCAATAGAAGAGATTATAATTTATTTGACACGCAAATGAATTTCAAATCTAGAGGACATTTTTATTAAAAAGTTAACGAACTTTAGGTATATAATTATGATTGCAATGTTTTGTTAGTTTTTTTTTTAATATAAATTATAATTTGAACAAGTACTATATTCCACTATATGTCAATAGATGGTGTTGTACATCATATTAGAAAGTAACAAAACATTCGAATTAATCACTAATAGAATTCCAAAGCATTTTCAGTTTCTTCATTATACTAAGATGGAATAATAAATCTGTATATTATTTCTTATATCGGCACCCATATTTTTTAATTTTATTCGTTCTGTCAAAACGATTGTTTTTACATCTAAAGACTACTCATTGATAGATGTCGTTGTAGATAATTAAATGTAAATTCAAATAATTATTTTAGTTAAGTAATATTACAATATTCTAATTATGATTTATAAAATTAAATTACAAAATATATGATGTTCCGATAACAAGTTCTTGTATATTTTATGTGGAACTATTACTTTTACCTAACAATAGATGGCGTTGAATAATTAACAACCGATTTAAAATGAATTATATATATATATTTTTTTTTATGTAATAATGGTCTCAACCATCTGTTTTCTAATGACTATAATTAATCTATATACATATTTGAAACGGGACGTATATCACCCGATTCGAAAGAAATCCATTCACATTTTAATCTTGTTATTCTTGTGACAATTTTTTTAAACATGTTGATACATAGATTTCTCAATTGCATATACAATTAACGAATATGAATTTTAATTTGGTGTTTACAGATCTTCAAATCCTATTGCTAATTCTTTATTAGTTTTAAACTTCTTTAGGTCTATCCAGGGACTCATGACACGAGGGGTGTAGGTTTAATGGGTTGTTTTTGCGACGTACATTTCAACACTTACCTTCACTACTCTCTCTGCTCAGCCAAATCTACTATATATCTCGTAATGCAGCTGTAGACACTCGCTTTAGTGTAGAACTTACTGCAGTTCTGGGCAGGCCAAGGTCTTTAAACAGGCTATAGAGAGATTTTGCTGATAACCCTCTCGCTCACACTTCTACAACGTATAGTTCACTCTTTTTGTTACTTCATTTGTAAAGTCAAAAATGTACAGTAAAGAATATGGGTTAGCGCAAAGGACATATCGCAAAATGACGCAAAAAAATAATTTTATAAAGGGGTCCATGAACAATCTTAATTTTTTATTAGTCCGTATAAAGCTGAAAAAAGTTTAGGAACCAGTAGGCTAGATTTTACTATGGGGTATTCTTTTATATGTTGGAACATGTAAAAGAATATCCCATAATAAATAAGCTTGTGACTAATTTAGATACATATGTATGTTTCCTAAATAATAATTGTAACACAAGATGAAAGTAAAAAATTGTAGCGGCTGAGGTTAAAAAATAGAATATAAGAAAGATAAAAAAAATGTTAGAGGTAGACCATTTGAATCATTTAGACCTACTGAATACGCATATAAAATATCATAAAAATCAGTCAAGCCGTTTATTAGGTATAGTAAAGCAATAATAAGAAACAAAAAAAATATTATCAAACAATTGGAGAACTAGTGTATATATATACCTACTAATATATCAAAAATGCAATGCAATAACATATGCAGTGACGTGATGACACGGCGCTGGTTTTTGCGGATATCTTCATATATATGTACACATATACATATATATTCACATACATATATCAGTTATATTAATTAGTTCACGTCCACTTTTTTCAATATTATCGAAAATAGAAAATACTATAATTTATAAATATATATAAAAGTGGAGTGTCTGTATTATAACCGTATGCAAGCATATATATTTACAGTTATCATCGTGCGACGCGCCACCATGAGACTTATCAGTATATTACAAAATAAGTGTTTTATTGCATTCAGTTAGTTAGCTGGTGAGGTGCGGTAGTAGTGGCATTGTGTTCTTTAAATATTATTGATTTTTGTTTTTATTCACAAGATGGGGTAACTGATGAGAATAATTCGGTTCTCCTTTGAATATGTTCTGCTCACGAGTACATAAATGACAAAAGCAATGTTAAAAAGCGTGGACACACAGCAATTATCACGTCGCCTCCTACAAAAAAGAATTAGAAGGTTTGGGATCTATACACATATCCGAAAAATAAGACAGTGATGTATAGTACGAGCATACTCGGAAACTTGACCGGCTACAACCCTCCAACCGAGAGAAGCATTATATCGGTCCATTGGAGCAATATCCGACCCCTTGCAATTTAGATAAGTTTGTTTTCAAGATAATTGTTAATAGACCAGGAATGGAATCAGAATAAAAAAGAAAGTAGAGCATATACAAGCGCTGAAAGTAAGGAATTATTTATGTTATAAAATTAGCCACAGACTTAACATTTTAATAGATAACAGCAATAATTTAAACCTAAATTTTATAAATATAATAATAATAACCCTGGCCACACAATGCCGTCCATCATGACATTATCCAGGAATTAAGCACAATAATTTCCAGTTAAGATGTATTGAGCTATCTCTGTTATGGCTACTCTCTTACCAGTAATAAAACTGAAACATTAAAAAATCAATTTATATCAAAATAGTTCCATTTAGTAGTAGTAGAATCTCGACTAAGACTACGACTTTTATAATTAATACACAAAAGAAAAATAGAGCTAAAGTTTGTATACTTATAAATAATTTCTCAGAGCTTCTAAACTTTATATTCAATAATTGTAATCAAATCCATTCGAACACAATGGAAATAAGTAAATAGACAAAACGAAATAAATATCCATATTTTATGAAGATTTCAATATTCTCATACCTTTGTCCATATTACAATGGTTTGGGTACCTATTGAAAAAATCAAGTACCTAGTTTCCTCTAATTGTACTTATTACAATGAAATATATGTAGTGTAGTAATTTAATAATATTTTTTAAATAATTTCAGAAATTCAGAGGTCATAAGGTGGCTTTAGAAACTAACTCATTACTTATTCAAGATCATTGAAGATAACAATACAATTACTCAATTTAGGGTTAACGACATACCCTGGTGTCAATTTTAAATATGCTGGTGGGTTAGTAGGTGTTTACGTATCAGTTCAGAAATACTCTAAATAGATGAAACGGTAAAAAAATTGTTAGATGACGACGCGAAATCATAATAAAATATTATTTTGATAATATCGTTTCACGCGCAAGCATCTAATACAGAAAGTGCTGAAAACTTATTCTCATGTTAAAAACTAATTACGATTTAAGAAATGAATTGTGAATTTGCGACAAACGATGGTTAAAATCTATCTATCTAACTAAAGCCAGTTTCTTCTCTACCTTCATTCAAATTCATAATTCGCTTCATGTCGGATTTTTCGGAGATAACTCTTTCATCGAACAAGAATAAAATAGAATAGAAATCCTTTATACAAATAAATTTCATTTAAGCGCTTTTGAATAGTCACAGTTATCGTTCTTTAATCTATTGCTCATTCGGAAAGCAGCCTCATCACAAGAAGAACGATCGTGTGGGTGTTACTCTTTCAAATAATATTCGTTGTTACTTTACATTTTTAAGTAGAATAGAATAGAATAGAATGGAAAATCATTTATTCAAATAAACTTAATTTAAGCACTTTTTAATAGTCAACATTTTTTTAAATCTACCGCTTATTCGGAAAGCTGTCTCATCACAAGAAGAATAAGCAAGAAACTTGTGTGTTGCTCTTTTAAACAATCCTTGTGAGTTCACATTTTACAAGTCGAAACGTATGAATACAAACTACCAACCAGCACTAATTTATTTAGGCTCAAATATAAAAACACAATAAGATTAAATCAGTCTAGTGATAAGAGCAGACCAGTCCCTA